CATCGCGAACATTAAAGCCGAACGTCCCCGAACGTAAATCTGACAGAAGAACGAACACGCTTATATCGTTAAACGACGATCGCTGCCGCGAACACGGTATCGCCTAAAAGTATAACCCGTTTCGAACGGCGAGCGCACGCGCTTACAGACGACGCACTTAAACGCTAGTACATCGTTTCTTGTTTTTTTTTTAATTATATCACAGCAACAAAAACAGTCGGCCACTAACGTCGAACGTGTCCTAGGTGCGAATTTTAGAAACGACGGGAAATTCGAAGAAAAGGAACAATTAAACGATAGTCTCGACTCGCCGACACGATGAACGACACTTTGGTTTCCTTCGTCTTATATACCGTAAAAGGGTGCTGCTAGGGGGGAAGGTGGGAGGGGGAGAGCATACCGGGGTGGTATGAAGTTTTAGGGGGATAGAGAGAGTGGATTGATCGAACGATCGAGACTCTCCGATTGACGGATGCTCTTTGCCCCTCGGAACGGCCCGCGCGTTATGCTTGTTTTTTTTTAACCTAATTCGCCGCTTGGATTGCGCATAAAAATGGAAGATTCGAGAAGAGGAGGTACGATTGTTCGAGCCTCGAGAGACGAGTTCTTTTCAGAGCTGGTGACTGCTGTGGTTTTTATGGTTGTGAAAACGAGCGAATAATTGGAACACTGCTCTTGAATAATAATAATAATAATAATAATTGAAATCGTTATAATGATATTATAGTAATTATAATAATTAAAATCATTGAAATACTCTGCTGGAATTTGGACATTTTTTTAAGCGATCCGAGCGCGAATTAGGGAGTAATTATTGTACTCTCTAACTGACGCTTAAATTGTGCAGATAAATGGACAGTTTGGGAAGGAGATGCGATTATTCGAGCCTTGCATCTCGTTTTTATAGTTGTTGACAATTCTAGTTTTTATGGTTATAGAAACGAGCGAATAATCGTATCTACTACTCCCAAATTGCCCATTTTTGAGCGCGAATTAGAGAGAAATTGCTGTGCTCTCTAACTGACGCTCAAAAAGTACATAAAAGTGAACAGTTTGGGAAGAGGAGATGCAATTATTCGAGCCTTGCATCTCGTTTTTATAGTTGTTGACAACTATATAGCTTTTCTAGTCACAAAAACGAGCGAATAATCGCTCTTTTCCCAGAATCCTCCATTCTTATGCTCGCAATTATCGAGCGCGAATTAGACAGAATTCACTGCAATTCTCCTGCAATTCTTCCTTTTCCGATACAAGATTCCCGTTTCGGGCATCGCGAAGCTTCGCGCGCGGCCTTCTTTCCATCGATTTCGCCTAATTTCGATTGATCCGACAAGGGTTCGCGTGTGTTCGAGAGAAAGACAGACAGGGAGAAAAAGAGGGAAAAGGAGAGAAAAGGACAGAGATACACAGAGACAGAAAGAGACAGAAAGAGCCAGAGACAGATAGAGAGGAATAAAAATAGAATAAAAAAAAGCCGGAAACCAATGAACTATAAAACGAGTAACGTTCGTCCCGACCGCCTCAACATCCTGTACCATATTGTTTCGGACCGTCGAATAAACTCGCACCGGTGCCGTATTTGTTTCAGTCTTGTTACGCGACCGCGTCGACGCGGCGCGCTTTTTTTCCACCATCGCCACCCGCCATCGTTCGCATACAAATAAAACGCATCGGACGCAAGAAACAACAATTTTCAACGCATATCCCTAAACAACACGCATACAACGTCCTTCCTCGAAATGTCGCCGTGGCTTAACCCTTTCTTTTTTTTCTTCTTTGTCTTCCACGGCTCTATTTTCTCCGCGTTCGTTCGCCCCGTTTGCCAGCTGAGCAACGGATCTGCCTGTCTGTCTGTGTGCGTGTATGTGTGTATGTGTGTCTTTGTGTATGTCTATGTGTGTATGTGTGTGTGCAATTATCTCGCTATTTTACGAACATCAAGATTGGGTGTCGTTTATCGGTTTAATTAAGAGTAATCGTTACAGCTAGGATCGTTATGAATTACGTCACCTTAAAAAACGTTACAACTCTCCGCACGGGGGACGGCTAGGAATCGAAACACCGTCGTCGGATTCGCCGATTCGGCCTCCTTTTTCTCTTCTTTTACACCGTAACGCAATTTATAATCATGGAACTTTTTAAATGCACTTGTACTCGAAACGCCTGCCCGCACGTTCTCGCTTCTTTCATTTGTTTTTTTCATTCGTTTTTCTCGTTTTCCTTTCTCCTTTTCTTCCATCTAATGTCTCTCCAATTGACGCCTAGATTGTCCACGGAAACGGACAATTCGGGGAAGAGGAGACACGATTGTTCGAGCCTTGCAGTTAATTTTTATAATTACGAATCGTCAACGATTATAAAAACGAGAGCCGCGAGGCACGAATAATCGTATCTCCTCTTCCCCAAATTGTCCATTTCTCTGCGCAATCTGTGAGCGTCAGTTAGGGAGACATTATACTGGACCTTTTTTTTCTTCTCGCTCGACTCGGCGGCCGCGAATGAATTTAACAACGGTCGCTCTCTAAAAAGCACGGAATCGATATTTATCTAAACGTACAATCAACTAATAGAGCCGAGCCACGCGGCTCGCGAATACGCTTGAGCATGAGTTCTTGAATGTATCTTTTTATATATATAATATATATATATTCATTTTTTTCTGTTTTTCTCCCTCGTAATTTTATCAATCTTTTTTCCTTTCCCCGTATTTTCTTTATTTTCTTTAGCCTTCGTTTTTCCCTCCTTTTTCCTTCTCTCGTTTTTTCGTTCGCCGTCGACATTCCGTGAAATGATCCGTTTCTCCTAACTTTATAAAACATTTTAAAAATTCTTTTTTTTAACAACGAAAAATATATATGTATGTGTGTGTATATATATATATGTATTTATATATATATGTATGTATGTATGTATGCATGTATGTACGTAAGATGTACAGTAATGTCTCTCCAATTGACGCTCGGATTGTCCACGAAAATGGCCGATTTAGGAAGAGGAGACACGATTGTTCGATCCTTACGATTCATTTTTATACTTACGAATTGTCGACAACACTATAAAAATAAGCCGCAAGGCTCGAATGATCGTGTCTCCACTTCCCAAAACGTCCATTTCTGTGCGTCAATTAGAGAGACCATATTAGCGTCAATTACAGAGACATTACCGTATATATATATATACATATACATAAATTATACTTCTTTGCCTAAACCGAATCAGACCCGTAGAGCCTCTTATGGTTCGGTGAGTTTCACTCGCTTGGCCGAACAACGAGCTTCGCGGTTCGGTCCCCCCTCGGTCCCCCCTCGGTCCCAATTATTTTCTTTCGCCGGCCCTACGAATTTCCGGCCGCCGTGGGGACAGAGGGGGCGTCTCTCCGTTCTCTCGAAGGCTGATTACCGTATCGTTTAGAAAAACCGGTCGATTGTCTTGAATGTCCTATAGTAACCGGATCAGAGTAACGTCTCCCTAATTGACGCTCAAGTTATCCATGAAAAATGGACAATTTCGAAAGAGGAGAACAGCGATTGTTCGAGCCTTGTGGCTCGTTTTTTTTACGGTTATCGATTGCCAACAACTATAAAAAAAAAACGAGCCGCAAGGCTCGAACAATCGTATCTCCTCTTCCCAAAATTGTCCATTTTTCAATGGACAATCTGAGCGTCAATTAGAGAGACATTACTGTACATGCGCGCGATCCTCTCGCACGACGTTGCTTTTTTCCACGAGCGGAAAGAATTCGTCCGCGGGAACCGCTCGAAGGATATTAAGTACGATGGCCGGGTCTCGCGAGACGCGGCGATTTTTTTTCGGCGCCAGACTGTCCGGAGACGAATCCCGGGTTTTCGATCAGTTCGCGGGGGAGATTTTGCGCCGGAAACGGAAACGCAGCGAAAGAGAATCGAATCGAATCGTTTGACGAGCAGTTCGCAAGTTTCTGGATTTTTTTGCAATTTTTCACATACCCGGTGTCTCGATGTTCTTCGTTCGACGCGTTCGACGCCGTCGATTTGATTTTAATACCGCGGCCATTGAAGTTAATTTTGGGCGATTTGATTAATCAAGAGCGAGACTGGAATGTTGATCTAATGGGAGGATGCACTTTTCTCGCGTCTGAAATAAATCCCTGTCGAATTTGATTGGTTCGAAAATGTATCACAGTTTGTTTGAATATATATTACCAATTTTCAAAATTGGTAGACAAAAAAATTAGTGGCAAAAGGAAAAGGAAAATGCGCCCTATCGAGTAACGGCTGATAGCGTGGATCGCGCAAAACCGGCCCAATTCGGCCCAATTAGGCCCAAAGCCGGCCCAATTCGCGTCGAAATACAGTAATTATCTCGCTAATTTACGCTCGGCTTGGAAAGAAAAAAAAATGGACAATTTGGGAAGAGGAGATTAAATATTATATATATATATATGTATATGTATATATAAATATTTATATAATATATTTATATTATATATTCATATAAATACGATTATATAAATAACCTTGCGGCTCGATTTTATAGTTGTCGACTATAAATTGTTGTTAAATCTAAATTGCCCATTTTTCCGCGCAATCTGTGCGTTAATTAGAGAGAATTCACTGTAAATCGGTAATAAATTTCCGTCGTCGATCGTCCGAGTCGACGTTTAACGCGTTCAAGCGTCAACAATCGATCGCTATAACTACCTCGAATTCAACGAATTTGATTAATCTAATTAAACTGGAATTTAATTGATTCAACCAAAGCTAGAAAGTTAAAATTTATATCGCTATTAAAAAATTAGTCAACAAACGTACACCAACTTTATTTAATTTTAAAAAACGCGAAATAAAATAGCCGCGCAACGTGGCACCATTTTATGCAATCCTATTGTATATAAATATTTATATTATATATATATATATATATATATAAATAGGATTACACAAATGTCCGCGCAACATGGTTCTACTTTATGCAATCCTATTATAATATAAATATTCATAAAATATATTTATATCATATATATATATATGTAAAAACGATTATATAAATAACCTCGCGCCTCATAATTATTCATCATTTTCATAATTATCGACTACAAATTATTCAATCTAAATCGCTCACTTTTCTGCTTAATCCACGCGTCAATCAGGGAGACGTCCAGCGCCACCAAAAATCGACCGCCAAACTTCCCTCGAATTAAACGAATTCAATTCAACTAATTGAATTCCAATCGACCTAATTTCAATTGAATCGATCAAACCTGTCCGTAATCCTGTGTGCCATCGTCAATCCTTTCGAAGCAACTTCAATTCGAAATCTAAAACGGTTTCACTGTCTCGCAGTATTTCCATTTCATACAACGCAATTGCCTCCCTAATTGACGTTCAGATTGTCCACAAAAATATGGACGATTTGGGAAGAGGAGACACGATTATTCGAGCCCCCTTGCGTTTTATTTTTATAGTTAAGAATTTAAAACGAGCTCGAATAATCGTGTCTCATCTTCCCAAAATTGTCGCGTCAATCCGAGCGTCAATCCTAGCGTCAATTAGGGAGACATTACCGTGACCGCATTTCATGCATGCACGCGACACCGACTTCTGCGATTCGCGCAACAATTACGCCTCGAAACGTTCTTCGAACACAAACAAATTCGTCGAAAATGATTTCGTACTAAAATTATTTCGAACAATAACAATTCTCGATGTCGCCGCTCGCCGTGCGAACGCTAAAAGTGCATCCCCCCGTCGCATTCAAATTTCCCATCGTCGCGTTTCCTCTCCCCCGCGGGCCCACGACGACGACCCCTTTTCACGACCTCATAAAAGATCGCGTCGCGCGAGACTCGGCCTCTCTCCACGATAGAACAGCCCTAAATGAAACGGCATTCGAGAAGAATCGGCGAAGAAACCGCGCCGCCCGTTCAATTCTCGTATTTCAGGTGCACCACGTAAACACGCTGGCCGGTGTGCCTGGTCCTGATGTGGGACATCACGTTGGACGTTTGCTTGCTACGGAACTCGCAATAAGGACACTGGAACCTCGGCGCTTGGCCGCACTCGTACTTCAGGTGCCTGGTCATGTTGCCCTTGACGGTGAAGCAACGGCCGCACTTCGGGCAACCGAACGGCTTTCTGAAGCAGTCGGCGAACGATCCGCCCTTGGCGTAAGCGTTCCTCACCCTGGCCTGCGCGTAGTAATTCGGCAATGACCTTGGAACCGAGCCTCCTCCGCCTCCGTCTCCGCCTCCTCCGCCGCCGGAATCGCCGCCGCCTTGGCTACCGGCCTCCCCCCTACTGTTGCCCTCACTGTCGAACGCCTTGCAAGATTGTAAAACGAAGTTTAGATCCAACTGTGGCGCTGCGGCATAGAAACCTGAAACTTCAAGATCGGCCCGTTAGTCTGCGGAAGCGTCGATCGCCGGCGCGCGGGGTGCTCGGAGATTGGGTGACAGACAGCTAGATATAGCTAGCTAGACAGATGGATAGATAGATAGATAGATAGATAAAGAAATAGAGATAAAACAGAGAGAAAGAGAGAGAGAGAGCGAGAACGAGAGAGAATAGATAGAGAGAGTATGACCAAAGCAAATCAAGGGATCGTGGGGGACCGGCCATCTTGTCGGAGCTGCCGCGCGCGCGCGCTCCGAGCCGAGGTTTCGCTCGCTCTGCGTTTTCGTTTCTGGACAAAGGTTCTCTGGGCGGTGGCTGGTGCATGCGTCTGAAGAGCTTTAGAAAAGTAGGAATACCTTGATAGATTGCGGACGATCTTCTAGACGATAAACAGAGGTCGAACCAGAACGATCTTCGAGTGTGGTTTTTATAGAGAGTGGTTTTATAATATGCCTTGATAACAGTTTTCGCGCGTGTGTCGGGCGCGCGACTCTTGCGCGCCGCGGGTTTTTTTTCAGTTCGCCTTTCTTTTTTAACGATTAATGTTTACGCAGAGAGGGGGGGCATAGGGCCCCCCTTCGTTAACGACTACGGTTCACGACAGAGACCCTAGACGAGACTTAATGAGATCGTTGTTGCGACTGCAGTCTTCGGGCGGTGACGGTGTCCCGCGTTATATCCGGTGTCCGGTTCTTTTCGGAAGAACGCAGAGGAATGATTTCTTTCTTTCTCTTTTTTTTTCTTTACTTACGTGGTAGGTTGTGTGCGCGCGGGTGAGCTAGTGAGAGAGAGAGAGAGAGAGAGAGAGAGAGAGAGAGCGAGAGAGAGAGAGAGAAATAGAGAGAGAATTAGAGAGAGAGAGAGAGAGAGAGAGAGAGAGAGAGATTGAACTACAACGAATTTTTGGTTTTCCGTCTGTTATTTATGAAAAAACTGTCCTCCCGCCTTCTCCTCGGCGAATTTACAAGTGGGCCCGCGGTCGCCGCGGCTCCGATATCGGTCCGTTTCTATCCGGTCGACCTTTGACCTAGGGCGAACGCCGTTCTCGAGAGTTCTCGCCGATTTCGGCGAACGTGCTCGCGGCTAAGCGCTCGGCGAACCGGTTCGTTCTCGCTTTTGTCCAAGGTTTTTAGGGTTTCGCGGCCCTCGATCGGGGCCTGTGCGCGGCCACGCCGCCGCGGAACATGGGCCCTGTGGCCCCGACGTCCTCTTTCGGTCCGGCGAAGCAGACTCGAGGCGTCGATCTCCTCGAGTTCCCGAAGGAGCGACTTCGATTCCTCGAAGCATTTTCACGTCCTTCGCGAACTTGACGGTGAAAATGAATATACATTATTTTGTAGAAAATCTCTCAGATCTCTTTTTATATACAATTCCATTCTGTGTTCACAATCCTGCTCGATTCTCGATGATAATCGAGGGAAACCGCGCGCGCGCGCCTTCTTCTTTCTCTCTCGTCGGATTTCGCGAAGAGATATTAATTAACTAATCTAACAATTTCCTCGAGACCTTCGCCTCGAGGCGACCTTTCTTTCGTGGAATCTCTCCCTGAAACGTTTATGCACGATTTTGTTCTGTCGTGCGTTTTTTTAACCAGTCAGCAGTCGCGAACTCTTTGAAAAGTGTGTTAAAATTTATGTTAATATTGTTTGCGATGTTTTCGCTGGGGTCACGATCCGAGCAGCGAATTCTCGCGAATTTTTTACGCTGGTCGGAAGACAGCTGATTGGTTAAATGGAATATATTTTCTGTCTCGCGACGATCGGGATCGAGAAATGCGACATTTTCAAGTAATTATCGTACTATGCGACACTAAACTCGGCCACTAAATGTCCAATGTAAACAATATAAAGAGAAACTGTAATTTTTAACAATTCTTTAACAACAATTCATAACGATTATAATGCCTTGATAACAGCTTGCAACGATCGTAATTTCTTAACGATAATATATAAATATAACATATGTAAAAGAATACATACAAAAATAAATATAGTTTCGTAAGAATAGTTTGCTAAAGCAATCGTTGACATTCGACCATTACGTGCAGAACTTGACTGCCAAAAATGTTCCTCCTGAACAATATTTACGTCTTCAATTACAATTTTCATCAAATTGTATCGATTCTGTAATTCTCTGTTTACAGAGACAAGCATTTACGAAGCGATATAAATTTATTAGAAAGCGAAACGGAAAATTAATTAGCAAAATGTGCGAGAATTCTTCGATCCGGATCGCGGTGCGTCTTGATTGAATCGACAGACCGATCTGTCACGTCGTTTGTTCTATTTTACCAAAGTAAAATTATCAGTAACGTATGACATTTGCTATCTACACATTTTTTATGTCTCCGTCACCGATCTGTCAACGGGCTCGGCACGCGTCTAAAGCCGCGTGTCCCTTAAAAACAGCGCTCGCAACACAAAACCGGTTTGTGCTCGAAGAGCGTCTCTCCGCGTCACTGCGGTAATACACGCATCACCGTTGCAATTACCTGATTAAAACTGATTACACGAGAATGAAAAATGACTAACATGGACGCGCGATGTGCGAATATTCGCATAGTCTGCGCGAGAAACCGCGCGTTCGCATTCGGGAGCCCGCTGAGTCTCGGCTCGAGTGTCCGCGACTCGACCTGAAGCGTCTAGGCTCGCGCCACGGCACTAGGCGCCCGAGCCAGGTCTCAGCGGAGTGGGAGTGGCGCTACTCAGCGTGCAAGCCAGGTCTCAGCGGAGTGGGAGTAGCGCTGCTCCGCGTGCGAGCCAGGTCTCAGCGGAGTGGGAGTAGCGTTGCTCCGCGTGCGAGCCAGGTCTCAGCGGAGTGGGGGTGGCGCTGCTCTGCGGGCGAGTCCCGATGTCTCGCGCGGCGGTCTCCCGCTCCTCGCTACGGAACCTGGCTGGCCAGCGGATCTCGCGCTGGACGAAAGCATCGGCCGAGCGTCGCTTTTGAAAAGGACGGCAAAGTCTGTTCGAGAGGTCGACCGATATCGGATCCGCAATGGCCGTGGCCGAAACGGGCGAGTCTCCTGCAGCGAATACAGGAGCGCCAGACATATCGCGCGGTCTTGCGGGGCTGCTCCGTGATAGATCTTCGATGATGGACGCGCGTGTGTGTGCAACAGATACAAGGTACAGTCCCCGTAGAAAGCGAGCGTAGCCGTAGTGTTTAAAGCGAACATCTAAGTAAAACGAGCCCCGCTCGAACTGTCCAACGTGCGCCGGCCGCCACGGATTCAGAGCTTCATGTCGAATATGAACACCTCCTCTTCAGGATGCTTCTTCCGGATGTGGGCGTATACAGGCGAGGTTTGCTTGCTCCTGAGGCCGCAGTACGGGCACTGAAACCTGGGCTCGTGGCCGCACTCGTAGTTCACGTGCCGGTCCTTGTTCCTCTTCAGGGTGAACCCGCGGCCGCACTTCTGGCACTGGAACGGTTTCTTCTTGTCGCACGAGTTCATCTTCAGACTCCTCCGTTTCGCGTTTTTGCTTGATTCCAAACTACGCTTCCCGATTGCCCCCGATCGACCTTTGCAGATCATGCTCTGCCCGACCGGGAGCGGTAGAATGTGGAATCCTGAAACACGTAGACACGTCTCGGCTGAACACACGGACGGTTGCTAGAGCGGAGATGATGCTAAAGGCGACGCGAGCGCGCGCGCGCACGCGCGCCTGCCGCGTCGATTCCACCGAATGCAACGCGCGCGTGCGCGCGCGCGTCGGGAACGGGTCCCGCGCGACCTGCTCGACCCGATCCCGTGGCCAACGCCGAAGACGCTGGGCGCGCTGCATTCGATGGAATCCCCATAAATCGTTAGGGTAACGCGGTCGGTTTCCGGTCGTCCGGGGCAATATCGTTAAAAGTGGACGACCCGCGCTCGTCGACTGCGCCGTGGATAAAACGTACTCTGTTTCGCCGGCTAGAAAGTGGAACCTGGGTCTGTGGTTTACTTATCCGTTCGCCGGTGGCCGAGTCAACGGCGACGCCCGTCGCCCCGAGTGCTGAAAAACATTGAACGGTTCGTTAGTTGCGCAGACAGACAAACAGAGAACGGCACAGGAATAACGTGGGGTTCGCAAGAGATTGATTCGACCAGGTTCTCGTGTTGAACTCGTCGTGCTTTTATTTCAAGAAACATTTCGGATTGCCGAGCTACAGCCGGAAGAAGCCGTTCAACTTCCGGTCCCAGAACATCTGCGCGAACTGGGGATGGTGGACACGCAGATGCCGGATCATGTGGGCCTTCTGGTAGTTCTTCATGGTGCAGTGGGGACACTCGAAGCGCGGCGGTTGCCTGCACTGATTGCGAAAGTGGGACAACATCGACTTCTTCCATTTGTACAGATTATGGCAGGTCGGGCACTCGTACATCCCGTTCCGCCTGATGATCGTGAACTCCCGGCCGGAACGGCCGTGGAACCGCTCGACCTTGGTCGCCTCCTTCGTCAGCCCTGAAACAGACGAAACGGGAAATAGAAGGTTAATAAGAATCCACGGCTGCGCGATCCTCTCGCCAGGTCTCGGTCGACGTCGTCTTCGATTCCACGATGCGATGGCCGCGAGAAAGGACGGCGCGTGTGGACAAGGTGCTCCAGAAATGCTTCGCGATCCGGGAATGGATTCCTGGGATCATTCGGAGCAACTTTTTCCTTTACAGAAATTTTCTCCGAAGTGCCGTTTACGAGTTACCCGCGGAATACGTGGACCAATCAGAGAGCGAGCGCGGCCAGCGCTCCGCCCGCGCGGCCGATGCCGCGTTGCGCAGGCCGCCCGGCGCAGCGGCGAGGGCGTGGCGTTAGCCGTGCGCTTCCTCTCACTGATCAGCGTTTTTCGCTAATAACTCGCGAACGTTGCCTCGGAGAACATTTCCGTAAAGGAATAAGTTACTCCAAATCGCCTCGGGAATCTCAATTTCCGAATTGCGAGACATTTTACGGACATCCTGTAGATTCCAACGGGCGGAGAAACGAACACGAGGTCTCGGGATTTCAAGGATCGTGTGAGATATTGATCGCTTCGAAATATTATGTCGCGACCACCGAGGCAGAATTATGCACCTCTGAATCGGCGGACATTTTCTTTCGTTGCAGTGTACGGTGCTCGTCGAGGGTCCAAACATCTGGAGGGCATCGTGGGTCCCAGACTAACAATTTATATTTAAAAAACGATGTTAAAAATGTCGTAGAGGCCTTAAACGTTACTCTTTTTTTCTAGAATTATTTTTAACCTCATATAATTTTTCTATGTTACTTTCAAAATCGTTTTTCTTTTTCTCTTCTAATATAAATTGTTGACTCGAAACCCATGCTTCCTTTCGATCTCTTGTTCCACTCGACGAGTACGGCAACGTTGCACTGAAAAGAAAATTCGACGCTTCGACCTCGATTTTCAAGATCGACGAAAATTCGTCGCGAAGAAGCTCGTTCAGCGGATCTCCGGCGAATCCGGAGACGCGGAATCCCGTCGCGGCGGTCGTGGCACACAATTCCGGAACACCCGGTACGTGTTTCTCCCATTCCTTCTCTTCTCAACCGACTGGCACTTTTGCTTTCTGTTTGCTGTTTCTCCGGTTGCTTGCGCAGCAAGGTCCACAGAAGTTTATTAAGTGTGACACAACACGGGTCGCGCGTGACCCGCCCGTTCGCTGGCGGCGGCCCGCGAAGATGGTTTTTTTTTACAAGCTGTACAGTCTTCCGTCGGCGATCAACGGGCGCCATTTCGCAGTTTCGCTGAATGAACAGATATATATATAAAGTGGAGATTGCAGAGATCACAGAGAACTTGTTGGATCAGCTTTTATAAATTCGATACAGGAACGTATAATTCTAAATCTATCCTGGCAGACCTCGTGCAAGGTCCTTGTTTCGCACCGTCGACGTTCCCTACCGCTGTTACACAGTCGTTTCTCCCTGATCCGCGCACAGATTCAACCTTGACACAACCTTGAGACATAACCTCGATGGAACTGATCCACAATTATTTTTTTTTGGAAATATGAAATTAATGGTTCATTCGGGAGACAGTAATTTCGATCCGCTCCGGTAAACAACGCGATTTCTCGCGGCGATCGCGCAGCCCTCGCGCCCCCTCGAACGCCCTAAATCTACAGATAGGTGCCCGGGCCTATGTTGTCGGTCCTGTGCTCCTGATGGGTGAGCCTAGCGTTCGTCGCGATGTCGACGCAGTAGAGCTCGCTGTTCGGGTGGAAGGTGCGGATGTGGGTCCAGACGTGGGTGCGCTGCCGCAGGTGGTGCTTGCAGTAGGGACACTCGAACCTCTGCGGCGTGCCGCACTCGTACTTGTAATGGCGGATCATGTGGCTGCGGTGCTTGTAGCTGCGGAAACACTTCGGGCAGGGGTGCCGGTTCCGGTCCCCGTAGTCGTAGGCGCCCTTCAGGCCCCGATGGAAGCTCCAGCCTTTCCCGGCGAGATCTGAAAAAGAGGAACATCACGGGCGTTAGTCGAATACGATCCATCGAGCGGGCTCGCACGCATCCGGGGGCCCCGGCGTTCCCAACGGGGGGGGAGGAAGGACGTGTCCTGATCCATCCGCGGGACAACGAGGCGACGATTCAGGTTTCGTTCGACATCGATGCGATGTCGGGAACACAACCGCGTCCCGCGCCTTGCGCGCCACGGAAACAAAGGAACGCAAGGTGGTGTCTTTTTTCTTTTTCTTTTTTTCTCTCTCTCTCTCTCTCTCTCTCTCTCTGTCGTTTTGTTAGTTACGCTCCGAACAGAAAACACAACGGATGGAAAGACGAGGAGGAAAGTGAGGGTCCGTGAGGAGTGCCATGCGACAAGACGACGCCCCTTCGGTTCGCGCGACCACTGGAACACACGTCGAAGGTGGAAGGAAACAGAGAGAGACCCGTTTCGATCGCTAAGGAAGATGTTTATTTTTCCATACAGTCGCTACGAAATAAAAACGTGTACAATGTCGAGGTGAGACGAGCGCTGGACAGCGGTCGAACGCCGTCTGGGGAACGAGAAACACCCCTGGTCAGTCCTGCCGGTTCTCGCCTTCGCGGTGGATTCACACTGCCCGGTTATTCTTTTTCTTTTTTCTTTTTTTATCGTCGCCGATCGGACAGACGAGCGTCCGCCGGCCGCCGAAAAAAAGATCGACGGTGATCCAGCGGACGGCGACGTCTCGTACAATAGCGATCGATCGATTCGCGAGCGTTCGAAGCCTTCGCGAGTGCGCGCGTTTGCCGAAAGATCGGCACAGATCGCTTGTCTCTGATAAAAAAGTACTCGAAAGAAATTGGAGAGCTCGAGGGAAAGAAATCGATGAAAAATCCGCCGATGTTTCAGTCAGACGCGAGTAAAAAGCGGTGCTAATCGCGCGATCCGTGAGCGGAGTGCTGAAAATCGATCGAAATGATAGTTCCGGAGCAATTCCGCTCGCGCGTTGCAACGAAATCAATCGAGTCGATGAAAAATCCGCCAATATTTCAGTCAAATGCGAGTAAAAAGCAGTGCTAATCGCGCGATCCGCGAGCAGAGAACTGATAATTTAACCAAAACCGATCGAAATGACAGTCCCGAAGCACTTCCGTTCGCATAATTGCAACGCGTCCGCTCGGAAATCGCGCGCAGGGTGCAGAGCTCACGCTCGAGAACCGTCGCTCAAAAGTTTCAGAGCCAAGAAATAATCGCGCTCGCTCAAAAATAGCAAGCTCGACGCTTCGCTCTACCAAATAAATAGCATAATTTCGACCAAATGCGCGCAAAGCTCTGCGTTCTCGAGCGCAGCTCGCCGGTGACCTCCGACCTCGCAACGCACCCCGGCTCCAAGCTCGCGTCGACGGAAACACAAAAGCGTCAATTACAGAAGAAAAGAAAAGCTTCCCGATGCTCCTCCGTATCGTCGCTCCTCCATACCGGCTCACCGATGTATAACAAAACCGGCGCCGATTTTGGGTGATTAAAATCGCCGGAAGTCGCGGGACGTTACGGAGGTAGAAAAGTAGAAACCTCGCGATTGTCGTCTGCGCGTCACAATAAAATAAATTCAATAAATAAAACGTCGGACATAGTGATGTAATGATAAAATAAAATTAGCGTGAATCCACCGGTGTCTGCGATCAAATTGTAAGCGTATTTAAACTGTCGGTACTAATTGGTGTGCCCGGCATCGTTAGGGAAACATACCTGTCGGCACGCTACGTATCGGTGCACGCGGCGCGCGCGCGAGCGAGCGCGCGCGTGAACAGGTTGGTGTCGTCGCGGCACCTCTCGACTCACGACTGTTGGGTGTCGAGGGCGTACACCGGCCTATTGTAGTGATTGCTCTTGATGTGCGAGTACACGTGCGACCTGTGCTTGCCGGTGTAGGTGCAGTGCGGGCACTTGAAACGCGGCGCCTTACCACACTCGTATTTCAAATGCCTGTGCAGCCCGCGGTACCATTTGTACGTCTTCTGGCACTTCGGGCACTCGAAGTTACCTCGGCTCGCGGTGTTCCTAGGCGGCATCAGGCCGGCCGCGGTGTAACGCCGACGTCTCCGTTCCGGCGTCGCGGCGGCCATGTACGGCAACGTGGTCATCGTCGTGTACAACACTGTAAAATTACACACGGTAGGTTTACAGGTGTGCGACAGTTATCATCGTGAAACGATAACGACGCGGCTAAATCGTATACGGGGGACTTCGACGGCACATACAAGAGAACAACAATTCGCTTCGCGCGCACAGTTCTTTTTTCTGTTTTTTTTTTCTTTTCGTTCTATCCTGCGCGCCGCGGCGAAACACGCCGTTTTGACGGCGGCGGTTTTCGCGCGGGGAACCGCGAAACACCGGCGAATCGTTTCTCTCGCTCTCTCGCTCTCTCTCCGATTTTTTTTTCTTTTTCTTTTTCTCTGTTTTTCCTTTTCTCGGGCTGTTTTTTCTTGGCTCGCTCGGCGAACACCGGGCTCGTTTTCTAATCGAACGGCGAATAGAGCTAACCGACGCTCTTTTTTAAGTAGATCCCGTTTTGGTAAGGCTGAGACGTTGTACAGGATGTCCTAGAAATCGGGGCTCGGTGACGAGTGATTTTATAGACGCGAAAGTAAGTCGGAAAGAACGACGTTTCTTCGGTCGAGGTTTTCTCTCTTTGGAAAAATTGATCTCGAAAGCGATGCTATAGAATATAGGAGGCGATTAGCGCGGCTGATCGTGAGCTATCGATTCTACTTTTTGCCATCGAAGACTTGGCGAAGGCTTAATGAAGGTTTGACGAAGGATTAACGAAGAGTTAGATGAGGAAATGTCAGTCTTTCCTCTCGATTTATTTTCGCAACTATCAGTCGATTGGTCGTACAACGATTTCTCGGACACCCTGTATATAAAGCTAAGAAAATATTTGACACGCTTTTTTGACGATCGACATTTTTGTTCAAGGCTATACGGTGACACTCGAAGTTGTTTTTTTTTAAGGTTGAATGGACAAGCTACGATTAGGATATTTTCTCATTCTAAATTCGACCGTGAGAAACAATGTTTCAACAATGTTGAACATTCAGTTTGTTAAGCTAAAAATTCGTTAATAAATGAGTTTGTATTTTTGAGCGCGACCTGAGCGCGAATTAGGGAGAAAATGCTTAGAGAAGATGGCAATTAATAGAATCCTTAAATGAAATAGAAATTACTTGGAATCCGCTATTCCAACGAAATGCAACATAAAATTCGTGCTATTATCAAAAACTTTTATTGAAAACATTCTCGAATATTGTTTGAAATAGCAGGAACTTTTCAAGCGGACAGAGTTCACAGATTTTTCAAAAATAAATCCTTTGCACAAGCAAACCCAAAAACGAATGCATATATATTACACACATATATATATATATCAGTTTATAATATATAATACCATCATATATAATATCACACCGTGTATATAAGTTCACGATATCATACACATAACATTATAAACTAATATACAGGATGATCCCAAAATTATGGTAATTCCGAGAACAGAAGCGTTCCTGAGATCATTTGAAGCAACTTTTTCCTCAGCGAAAATTTTCTCCGAGGCTTCGTTCACGAGTTATCAACGAAAAACACTGACCAACGAGAGATCGCGTACAGCAGACGCGCCTGTCTCTTATACACATCTAGATGTGTATAAGAGACAGGATCATTTGAAGCAACTTTTTCCTTAGCGAAAATTTTCTCCGAGGCTTCGTTCACGAGTTATCAACGAAAAACACTGACCAACGAGAGATCGCGTACAGCAGACGCGCCTGTCTCTTATACACATCTAGATGTGTATAAGAGACAGGATCATTTGAAGCAACTTTTTCCTTAGCGAAAATTTTCTCCGAGGCTTCGTTCACGAGTTATCAACGAAAAACACTGACCAACGAGAGATCGCGTACAGCAGACGCGCCTGTCTCTTATACACATCTAGATGTGTATAAGAGACAGGATCATTTGAAGCAACTTTTTCCTTAGCGAAAATTTTCTCCGAGGCTTCGTTCACGAGTTATCAACGAAAAACACTGACCAACGAGAGATCGCGTACAGCAGACGCGCCTGTCTCTTATACACATCTAGATGTGTATAAGAGACAGGATCATTTGAAGCAACTTTTTCCTTAGCGAAAATTTTCTCCGAGGCTTCGTTCACGAGTTATCAACGAAAAACACTGACCAACGAGAGATCGCGTACAGCAGACGCGCCTGTCTCTTATACACATCTAGATGTGTATAAGAGACAGGATCATTTGAAGCAACTTTTTCCTTAGCGAAAATTTTCTCCGAGGCTTCGTTCACGAGTTATCAACGAAAAACACTGACCAACGAGAGATCGCGTACAGCAGACGCGCCTGTCTCTTATACACATCTAGATGTGTATAAGAGACAGGATCATTTGAAGCAACTTTTTCCTTAGCGAAAATTTTCTCCGAGGCTTCGTTCACGAGTTATCAACGAAAAACACTGACCAACGAGAGATCGCGTACAGCAGACGCGCCTGTCTCTTATACACATCTAGATGTGTATAAGAGACAGGATCATTTGAAGCAACTTTTTCCTTAGCGAAAATTTTCTCCGAGGCTTCGTTCACGAGTTATCAACGAAAAACACTGACCAACGAGAGATCGCGTACAGCAGACGCGCCGCCCTCGCGACCACCCCCGTTGCGTCAGACAGCCAACGCGACGCGGCATCGGTCGCGTGGGCGGAGCGTCTGGCGCGCTCGCTCCCCGACTAGTCCCCGTTTTTCCTTAATAACTCGTAAACGACGCCTCATAGAACATTTCTGTGAAGGAAAAAGTTGCTCCAAATGACCTCAGGAACCCATTTCCGGAAGCACCATAACTTCGAGACACTGTATGCGCTGCAATCAAACGCTAAACATTGCGCGCAAAGCTTGTAGCACATTTCCACGATCAAAGAACAGCTTTGGAAGCGTGCATCCGCCTACGGAAGAAGCTCCCACGAGCCGCGCGGACAGAAAAATATAACCTTTCACTCTCGGAACTAATAAAAACGCCTTTCTGTTCGAGATGACGGTCCATCTGTTCGTCGGACAGCTCGCCGTCTCCGATTCGAAAATTCGCGAAATTTCCGATCGCTCGAAAACAGCCCCCGTGTTCGCCTGCCCTAACGACTGCCCTAACGAACGATCCGTCGATCGACTGCAGTCGATCGATCGAATGCACTCTTCGGTGCAAGGAGAAGAGTTCGGAGCGGCTTCGCCCGCCGCTAAATCTCCGCGACGCCGAGCGTTCGCTTCCGCGAGCCCCGCGAGAGGCGCCTCGAATCGTCGGCGCCTCATGTGTGAGGCGCACACACATCGCTCCTGCAAATCGCGTCTATGTGTATCTGTGTGAGCGCGGCACCGCGGTAGATACCGCGCGCACAACGATCGCTCTCGCCGACGCGAGTCTCGAAAGTCTCGCGAAGCGAAAGTCTTGCGAAGTACCCGGAAGCAAACGTTCAAGGTCGCAACAATGGTGACGAAGCCATAACCGACTCTGCAGGTCGCACCTGGACCAAGAGTGCGAGAGAACGGCGCAGCATGGTCGCCGAAGTAGTTCCTAGTGTCGAAAGTTTTGTAAGAAAAGCTGAACAATTGGCAGACACTTAGAAGCGAAACTATCGATCCACACAAAGTATCGCAAGCCGATCGCCTGTCGACATCGACATCGACTCCGACATCATCCTCGGACTTTATTGATCACTTATCATTACAAGAAAGCTGTGGGGGGTGGGGTGGGGGGCAAGGATTTCTCAGAGAGGCGTGCGCGCCGATAATTCGGTGAGGCTGGCCAGCGAGCGTTGAACCGTCCCCGGTTCCGTTCTCCGTTCCCGTCCTCCGTTGTCCGCCGGATTTATCCGTCTCCGACACCTGAAATCAAGACAACCGACGCGGTTAGTACGGGCAGAAACGTCGAAACCGGTTCCCCGTTTGCGAGAGACTCGCGAGAAGCTGCTCCTCTCGTCGTCGACTGCGTCGCCGCGCCGCGTCGCGCCGCGCGGCTGCTGGACACGCGGGAATTAAGAACGCCGGGATGATTTTTTGGGATTCAGAGCGATCTTTATTCAACTTTTCTTCTCGTCACACACACACACACACACAAACACATCGGGATCGGGGGGACACGGTATCCGGGCCAGGCGGCCCGGGAACGCCGTGCTCCTCGGATTATTTGCACGCCGAGCGCCGACGATCGTGCGCTGAAATTCCCCGCGCGAGGTCAACGCGATTTAATTAATTAACTAATTAATTTAACGCGCGAGTCGCGCACGGGTGAATAGTCCATCGGAATCGCGCGCTAATCACGGCCCACGATCATCGCAATTCCATTAAATTGTTCGTCCAAGATTTAAAAACGTTTTAATCTAATTTATTCCGTGTCCTCGCACGATCTACTCTTTCCGCATCGTCTCAACGGGCGAGAATCCGTTTACAAAAGATAAAATGTTTGTACACGTGTACGTGTGTACGTGTGTAGTACGTGTGTACGTGTGTGTATGCAATAGTCTCTATGTAGTAGTAAAAGCAACGTCCGAGCACACCGGGACTGCCCCGAAAAAAGTACCCTCGAATTCGGCCGGCTGATACTCATTTTCCGACGCGACCCGTCGCGCTTCATAATCCGCGGCGATATTTAACCGTGCGGCCGGTCGCAGCGAAATTTAACCGTGCGGCCGATCGCGCCAGAAGCTCACTGTGCGGCCGGTCGCGGCGAAAGCTCGCCGTGCGGCCGATCGCGGCGAAAGCTCGCTATGCAACCGATCACAGCGAAATTTAACCATGTGACCGTTCGCGGCGAATTTTAACCATGCGGCCGTTCGCAGCGAATTTTAACCTTGCGGTCGATCGCGGCGCAAGCTCACCGAACGAACCGTTGCGGCGCGTACCCGACTCTCCGGGAGAGGGGTGGGGGGGCTCAATAGAGCCGCTTGAAGCAGAGAACTTGGCCGGGATGGTACTTCCTGATGTGGGCGTAAATGTTCTGGGTGAACTTGGACGGCTTCTCGCAGTACGGGCACTGGTACTTGGGCGCCATGCCGCACTCGTGGCGCAGGTGGCGGGTCATGTTTTTCTTTAACGTGAAGCCACGGTTGCAGCGTGGACAGTAATGACTCTTGTTCACGGAGTACACTTTCCTGCGCTGCCTGGGTAGGGTCTGGCAATAACCTGAAAGATCGAAGCGGAACGTTAGCTGATTCGCTGTGTCATCGGTGCCGGTCGATCCCTACTTCCGGGGTGGCGCTTTCTTCCTTGGCCGGAAGTAGCGTCTCGCGCGAATCGCGCGCCGATATCCGCGGCTTCGCGAACATCGAGACAGAGACAAGACAGAAAATTCTACGCTTTGCGCGCGCTTTGAAAAAAGGTCTCTCTCTAGGTCTCTCGGAGGCGCTTACAGAGGCATTCATTCCATCCTACGGGATTTTCGCTGGATTTTATTCAACGCCGGGGATGATGATATGGGGGGGGGGGGATGAGAACGGTTATGGCGGAGGGTGGAAGGATTGATTCGCGGGCTAATTATCATAGGCTGGCGCGCACGAAACGTCGGATTTATTTTCTTTACGCGCGAACGAACGTTCGTCTCCCTGTTTCACGCTTTCGTTCTCGGCGCAGCCTCGTTCACGGTCGCGGCATCGTCCGTCGCCGGGGTCGAGGAAGATTTCCTCGAAAGCGTTCCGTTTCGAGTCTCGCGGGGATACGAGTTCGAACGATATTCGCGCGCGTTTTTCTTGGACGAGCACGAACTCGGCGACGACGCCGCGAATGCTGCGCGCGACGTGAACCGGGCGGTCGCGGGGGGAATATCGTCGACGATCGAAAAGCGCGGCGCGTCGGATCGAAGACGTTCGGTCCGGTGATTTTTCCCCGTAGAAAATGAACCGCGCGGAACTCCTGGAACGTCCGTGAAAAACGACGCCCCGAAAGCGTCGGCGGAAACGGAGCGCGGACCGGAGCGAATCGCCGCTCGTTCCTTCGAGCCGGGGAGACGATCACCGGCGCGTCGACGGAACGCGTGAAAAATTGAAGATCGTACGCCCGTCGCTCGTCGATCGGCGCGCGGCCCGACGCTTCTCCGCGACGACGCTCGGCCGCGCGCGTCCCGCGAAACGATCGCGAAACGAAACGAATCGAAACACGGAAACATCGCGGCGGCCGGCTCGTTCGCCGGATCGTTCGCCGACCGACTTTCGTTCCTTCGAAACGTTCGGAACGGTTCCCGCGGGCTGGACGGCGCGAGAACGAAGACAGCCTGGAACAATTCCGTGTCAGAGAGTTCGTCGATTCCGAAGACCGGAATTCCTCCGAGACTGGCGTCCGCGCGTTAAAATCTCGCTGCGAAAAAAAAAAAACGGCCGCGATGTATCCGATATAATAAAATCCGACGATCCGACACGCGTCAGCCTAACAGACCGAGTCGGGGTGCGGGGTACGGGGTTGCGAGATGCTGGAATATAAACGGGGACGTAAATCGCCGAATGAAGAATGCGGTACAGTAAAGTCTGGTACAGAAAGACACATATATTTATCTTCTCGTCGTCTTCACACGTCTCTGAACATTGTTCAAAAACAAAAGCCAAAAAAGAAGCAGAACGGACAGAGGACGAGGCGTCTCACACAGTGATAGAACACAATTCGACCGGCTTTGCTCTAAGAGCAAAGTCCTGCGCCGAGAGGAACGACGCGCGTTCCATTATTCGAACAGTCTCGTCGCCGTTCTTCCCGCCGAACCGCATCTCTCTCTCTCTCTCGCTCTCTCTCTCTCTCTCTCTCTCTCTCTCTCTCTTTCACGTGGACCGTCGCGTATTGATCGGCGCGAACAGCTTGATCGCGTGCGCTTCGAAGCCGACGTGCCGCGACCTCACGTGCCTGTATATGTTCGAGGAGCACGAGGCACGCATCTCGCAGTACGGGCACTGATAACGGTGCCCCTGGCCGCAAAAGTAACGCAGGTGCCTGGTGATCGTCGTCTTCTGGGTGAAACGGCAACCGCAGTTCATGCACTCGAACCTCTTACGCTCGTTCGGATGGTATCTGTACCTGTTGTTCCAAACGGCTTTCGCGTCCGCCGCGAAATGAACGAGGCCCGCGGCGCCGTCCCACTTCAAGCTGTGCTCCCGGTAGACATCTGAAAAAATCAACACACCGCGCGGTTAATCGGTGACATCGGGGGAGCGCCGCGTGCCGCGACGAAGAGCGCGGGTCCGCGCGGAAAACCGCGCGCGTTTCTCGGGAAACGCGAGAACTCGGGGACGTGTTCGTTCGTTCCGTGCTGGTCTTATTGTTCTCTTTCGTATTTTTCTTTTTTCGCTGTTTATTTGCCTTTTTTTTTGTTTTTTGCTTTTTTCGCTGTTCATTAGCACGTCCCGTTTTTTTTATAGACACGACCGGAAATATATCACAGAGAAATGGGAGCAACATCGGGGAACGCACCAACTCACACATAACACGGGGGGGGGGGGATGTAGCATGGACACGTGATGAAAACTCCGGGAACTGAGGACTCAGCGAACGTTTAATTATGTTTCAATAGCGTTACACATAGCGGCGAGCTCTTTTTTTTCTCGCGTACAGTTTTCCTAGAAGAAGAGCTCCGAGGCTCCGCGCGTCCGAATGACTAGAGACACTGATAAAGTCGACGATCATGGGGCACACCCGGATGTCGTACGGCCCTGAACGAATCGTGAAGCGTTCGAGAATAATCGCACGGCTTCGATCGATCGCACCGTGATCGGTGCAATTGTGCAATCGTGGGTGCAATTGTGATAATATCTGTTCGATTGTCCCTCAGCTTGCGATAAAAACGGTTCGATCTGGAAAGAGGGGACCATAATATCGTCTCCCCCTAACTGACGCTCAGATCGCGCAGAAAAATGGACGATTTGGGAAGTGGAGATACGATTTATTCGAGCCTTACAGCTCGTTTTTATAGTTGTTGACAATTCGTAGCTATAAAAATGAACTGCAAGGATCAAATAATCGTATCTCCTCTCCCTAAATTGTCCATTTCTTTGTGGACAATCTGAGCGTCAATTAGGGAGACATTACTGTACAATCTGAGCGTCCGTTAGGGAGACATTTCTGTACAATCTGAGCGTCCGTTAGGGAGACATTTCTGTACAATCCGAGCGTCAATTCGGGAGACATTACTGTACCCGATGTCAGAGGGTGTCGCGAATACATTTCGCACCGATCGAAAAAATGTAACCTTGACACAGTTGAGACCTTGAGACACAGTTCGCATCTCTCCGAAAACAAAACCGAGTTAAATTCCTTTTCCCGGCCAGTTTTCTCGAGCCGCGAAATTCAATTAAAATAACGATAAAATCGCGTGGTCGAAGTCGCCGGATTAAACGACACACGCACACACAGAGATTACGCACGACATCGCGGCGAAAAATGATTCATTCGTATCGCGTTCAGCACAGTTTATTATAATAGACCTCCTTGCCCTTGTGGTACCGACTAATGTGGTACTTGACGTTCGACGTGTACGTGTAACACTTGTTGCAGTAGGGGCACTGTATGCTGCGTATCCCGCACAAATGTCGCACGTGGTAGTTGAGATCTTTCCGGCGTTTGAACGTCTTGCCGCACTGGGTGCAGTCCAGGGTGCTCGCGTAGTGGAATGATCCGGCGCGTTTCGCGGCGCGTATCTTCCGCTTCGGCTCGCAGCACGCGTGTCTCGCGTGGAAGATCAGGTCCCTGTGCTTCGCGAAGCATTTGTCGCACTGCGGACACCTGTTCGGCTTCAAGCAGGGCGTGTCGATCCACTCTGAAAACGAAAAATAGAGGTTCTCTATGTAGCGAGGGCGCGGAAACAGCTCGCGCGGATCGCGCGCGTTCACACCCGGCGCCGATCGCTTCTAATCCTATCTAAGAAAAATATAAAAACGATCGAAGCGCAGACGCGTTCAATCCGGTGGACAGCGCACGGCCGCTTCGCGTTCAATTTCGAGCGGATTTTCGGGGTCCGCGCTCGTTTCTCGTCGCTCCGGGACGCTCGAGAGCGCGGAATTCCGACGCGGAGACGCGAGCGTGGCAGCGTCGGGCGTAGCCCGATTACGTCGCGATTGCTCCTCGAGCGGAATTCCGCGCGCGATTCGATCTCGGTTCGCGGAGAATCGCGAACCGAGTACCCCGATTTTGGGACCTTCGGCGGGACTTAGGCGAGCACGCCGTGCCCTGTCCACGAACTGAAACCCTACAAGCGTTGCATCGTTACACCGAGAGGTCGGGGGAGACACCAAAGACGGGTGACAGAGAGCGGAGGGTGCTGGACACAGTGGGTGAAAATAACGGCAGGAGAGTCGGGTGCGTGGTTGCGGCACACTTTTTATACGTTTATTCTTTACACATGTCTAGTTTCTCGGCCGGAAACGTTTCCTAATGAATAGAGCTGGTTCCGGCGTTGTTCGTGTTTCGTGGTGCGCGCGCGCGCTCGCGGCTTGCACGGGCGAGGGGGCGGGGGAGGGCGGTTCTGTCGAGTTCTAAGGGATTCATGGATTAAATCGTCGCTTCGAACCACGAGTTTTCTGAGAGTTTCTTGCGCCGAGTTACTTTTCGCGTTGTTTAATGCATGAATCCGAGTGTTTGGGACACAGGGGACGTTATTTCAGACAGATCTGGCCAGGCGGAAAGGTGCGCGAAGCGTAGAATTCGAGCGGCGATGATTCGTTCGAGGGTGGGATCGTCGAATTGGGGATCGTCGATGGAAGGCTGAAACGAGAAATAACGTTTAAATGCGGTTTGCAATGGTTAAGATTCCTCCTCTGTCTTGTAACGAAGTTAAGAGGGAGGGGGAAAGGGGAATGTTGATTTGAAATCGACGTTTGGGCTGTTTGGATGGAGAACGAACTGTCTACGAACGAAGGAAAATGTGGTAAGATTGTTCGACTTTGGGACAAATTTTAATCGGATGTCGAAGATGGAGATGCAATTTTATTCGACGTTATCGAATGTATCTCCGATCGAATAAAGATCTAGTCGGATGCGAAATTGTCCGAATAGGAATTCGTTCGAATAAGAATTCATTCGTGCAAGAACTCATTCGAATATGAATTCGTTCAAGTGAGGTTCTATTCGTGTAAGAATTCATTTGAAGAAGAATTCATTCGAATAAGAACTCGTTCGAATAATAACTCGTACGAATCAGAATTCATTCGAATAAGAACTCGTATGAATCAGAATTCATTTGAATAATAACTCATTTAAAGAAGAATTCATTCGAATAACTATTCACTCGAATAAGAACTTGTTCCAATAAGAATTCATTCGAATAAGTATTCATTTGAATACAAACTCATTCGAATAAGAATTCACTCGAATTCATTTGAATATCTTCATATCTTCTTATGAAGCTAAAACTGAAAAGCAAAAACGGTCAACAATTGTTCTCAATATTATTCGAACAATCTAGGAATCTCTATTCGAATCATTCATTCGAATAATTCACTCGAATAATCCTCTATTCGAATAATTCACTCGAATAAATCTCTATTCGGATAATTCTCTACTCGAATAATCCTCTATTCGAATAATCCTCTATTCGAATAATTCACTCGAATAATCCTCAATTCTCGAATAATTCTCTATTCGAATAATTCACTCGAATAATTCTCCATTCGAATAATCCTCAATTCGAATAATTCATTCGAATAATTCTCCATTCGAATAATCCTCTATTCGAATAATTCTATTCTCTATTCGAACAAACAGAACAATTCGCAACAAACAACCACTATCCCCACAAAACGTTCGCCTGAACCGAATCACATTCCTACAACCATCCTCCCAGACAAACAAATATATCCAAAACACTTCACGAATATCTCATCCAACTCCAACTTCCAACCACCTCGCGTCCCCTTCCGCCATAAATAAAGAGCATCTTGTCGCGTTCATTCGCTTCGTCCCGCCGAACCTTTCGAAGGCAAAAAGGTTCGCCCGTTTAAGTGAATACTGTTCAGAACATTTTGTTGACACCGACGGGCATCTTCGGGTGCCACCTCCTAATATGCCTGTAAACGTTCGAGGATGAGTTGTCCTTCTTATGGCAATACGGACACGCGTATCTAGGTATCTGGCCGCACTTGTGCCTAATCAGGTCCCACATCCTCCGGAATCCGGCGTTGCACTTCGGGCAGATGTAACTCGAGACCGCGACCTGCGTCCTGATGCTCGGCCACTCCATTCGCCGTAAATCTGAAAACAATCAGGACGTTAGTCCTGCGCCGGCTGGCTCAGAAACGAAAACGCGACGACCGGCCGGAACAACGTATTTCTTTGTCTCTGCATGTGTGTGTGTGTGTGTGTTTATGCGATCGCAGATAGTTGCGGCTATAGGCTGTCGGGCTCGCAGCGTTTCGGGGCGTTTCGAGGATTCGAGAAAAGAAAAAATGTGTGTTCATGTGTGTGTATGTGTGCGCTGAGACGCTGTGTACGATGAAAGGGGTGGAAGAAACGTGAACGTTGCGTGAGAACGAGCATCTCTCCACTGTCTTTTCCGCTGTCTTTCTCTTTATTCAGTATGCGAGCTTCAATCTAGAGTTTATTCCGTACACAGTTTTGGCAGAGAACGTTCGCACGCGAGTCGGCGCGCGAACAAACCCGCGCGACGGACGCACGTCAATCGACGCCGCGCGGATCAGCGCGCGCGAGCGATTCTCGCGAGCTCTGATCCGCGAAAGCCGCGGCAACGTTTCGATCTCGCCACGCTAAATTCCAAGGTGCTTAACGATAGCGATTCGCGGCGTTCAGGGTCGCGGAAACGTTTTACATTTTTCCCGGGAGCCTCGAGAGAGAACGACGCGACTCGTGGAGCGCTCGAAGATTCGACGCAGAGAGAGAAAGACGCGTGGAAATATTGCGAATCGTTTGCTCCGTTCGCCGGGCGCGCTTTCCGAATTCATGACGAAACGTTCCGCGATTTTATTTCAGGTACGCGCGTTTTACATTTTACACGTCGCAGGCTCGCCCCGCCTCGGGAAAACGCCGATATCGTCGTCGAAAAACTCTCCGCGCGGCCTCCGTTTTCGCTGCCGTAGGAACTGACACAACTAGACGATATATATATCGTCGCGATACATAATCCTTCGCGGAGACACGCGCATTCGCCTAAAATACTCTCTTATTCGTCGGGACAGCTTGCGCGCTAAATTTCGAGAGCGCGCGGACGCGCGCGAGAGGATTCGCCGGAACGCGCGGGGTACGTGTCTTCGAACATTCGGAAGCATTCGCGAGGAGAAATGGTGGCCCGGCTCGGTCGCGAGCATCGGGTGGCCACGGTTCGCGAGAACATTACTTTTGAACGGCGCTCGAACTCGTCGGGTGTCCTGAAAGAATAAAATCTAGTCAAATCCCCCTGGAAACAGTTCGCAGTTGCGTCTCGCGGCTGCGATGGGACCACTTTCGATGTGGGAGTAACCCGCGGAAAATGTAGAATTAAATGTCCCATACGATGAGATAAGGTTCCGAGAGCTTCGAGCTTTGAAGTATATACAGGGTGTCCTGAAAATGGCTCGCAATCTGGGCGAGGATGATTGCTGAGGTGATTTAAAGCAACTTTTTCCTTTGCGAAAATGCGATCCGCGGCTTCGTTTACGAGTTATTAACGAAAAACGTGGACCGATCGCGAGAGCGAGTGCGGCCAGCGCTCCGCCCTTGCGGCCAATCTCGCGTCACGCCGACCGTATGACGTGGCTGTGGTGGCCGCGAGGGCGTGCCGTCAGCCACACTCGCTCTCCGATTGGTCCCGGTTTTTCGTTAATAACTCGTGAACGAAGCCTCGTGGAACATTTTCGCTAAGGAAAAAGTTGCTTCAAATCACCTCGGAAATCCCTCATTTCCGTATTGCGAGACATTTCCGTCAGAAATTCTTGTCAGAGCTTTCGTGGACTTTTTGTCGTGCAACATTATTTGGTCTCTCTTTCATATATATAATATATATAATTTTATATATAATATTATATGCACAATAATTATACATATAACATTATATATACAATAATTCGATACATAACGTACATACAACGTAAAACTTGTTCCGTTTTCCCTCGCAGAGCCAAACGAGAAATCAACTATAGAAAACACACCGCAAGAGCAACGAATCAATAAAAAAAAAAGACAATTTACATCGTTCAACCACGCAAACGCCAGTCTTCGTCATAGCACAACCACGCTACTTACCAATGAACCGATAGCGCGAATCGCCCGAAACGATCCAATTCGACCAAAAAAAACAGTCGAAAATCGCAAGAACGTCCCCAACAATCTTGTCCTCTCTCGCATGCGACATTTGATTCCACTATAAAAATTCCGCGAGAAAAAAGATCGGCCCCCGCAGTTCCCCTCGCAGATCCCTAACGCGATCTCCCCGCCCCCTAACTACCCTCCGCGAACGTCCTACGACGACCATGTTCGCGGCAGAAGAAGGAGAAAGGCGCCCTAATTCCTGTCGACGACGACGGGCAGCCCGTCGTGCCGCATCCGCACGTGCTTGTAAATGTTCGACGAGCACTTGTCCCTCTTGTTGCAATAAGGACACTTGAACCTCGGCTCCTTGCCGCAGTCGTACTTCATGTGGGTCTTCAGGGTCTTCTTGTAGGTGTAGCCGGCGTTGCACCGCGGACAATGATACGACATCTTCGCCGACTGCCACGGCCCGTCTTCGAGCTTCACGTCGCCGCCGTCCAGCCTGTAGTCCATGTTCGACCGCAGCATATCGAGCACGCTGGTGTCGTACGACGATAACGGGTGGCCTACAAACAGGGAAACATGGATCACGGTTAGCGGAATCGGGGGATCGGCGGCGACCGGGTGAACGCTGGCAAATCGAAGAGAAACATAGAGAAACGGAATAGAACCGGTTGAAACGAGGAGGAAAGCAAGCGAGAGAGAGAGAAAAAGAGAGAAAGACAGAGAAAGAGAGAGAAGAGAAAGATATAGAAAGACAGAGAGAGAGAGAGAGAGAAGAGAGAGAGAGACCGCTAAATGGGCGGTCCCAAAAATGCGCCGCGAACCGCAGAGCGCGAGATATCCCGGGGTGGGGCCGAACCGAGGGGTGGGGGGTCGGGTGTGTAATGACAGCAATTCTTCTGACAGGACAAGGAAGACATCTATTTCTCGTAATCTTGTATACAACTGCTCACACTTGTAGCTAGCTCGGAGCGCGTAAACGAGGATGAAGGAGGCCTGTCGCCGAGGCGAGCCGGCACGACGAAGGCAGCTGTCAACAGCGGCGGCCGGATCGATCGTTGGATCCGCTGCTCCCGGTCGGCGTTCAGTAGAGCTTGAACGCCTGGATATTGTTACCCTTGTGGTAGGTCCTGATGTGCCTGTAGGTGTTCGACGACTTCCGGTCCCGTTTCCCGCAATACGGACACTGAAATCGCGGTTCCTTGCCGCACTCGTACCTGAAATGCGTCAGCATGTTCGCCTTCTTGCTGAACGAGCTGTAGCACCTGGGGCACACGTGCCTCTGCACCGAGCCGCCCGGCCTGCTCCACGTGTCGTCGAGCAACGCTGCAACAGAGGAAGCAGATCACCGGCCGGGTCAGTAAAATCGTCCACTGAATCGGGTCCGCCGGATTGTTTCGCGCGTGACCGTCTCATTTCATTCAATGGCTCCACGAACTGCCGAACGGGTCGCTTTTTTTCTTTTGTTTTTTGTTTTGTTTTACCTGTCGCTCCGTGAGATGGGCGCATCGTTCGCTTTTTTCTTTTTTCTTTTTTTTGCGGGAGGCTCTGTTTGTGTGTGTGTGTGTGTGTGTGTGTGTGTGTGTGTGTGTGTGTTTGTGCGTGTGTATTTTATTATGAATAATCAAGACGCTTCTGATAATAAAATAAAGCATTGAATTTCTTTTTTATTATTTAGCTCGATGGAAACGCATCGCGTCGTTACAATGGTATTTTCTGTTCGTATACAAAACGTGAGGCGTGTGACACGTGGTCGTTATGTCGCGTCGCGTCGTCGGCTTCGGGACGACGCCGTCGACGATGTTTCGCGACGGCGAACGAAACGGAGCGTCGCGCGTCGTACCGAGAGATTCTAAATTTGTATCGGGCTAGGACACTTTTGATAGAATCGAGGATTCGTCGGGGCTGGTCGAATGGAGCTTGAATATTATATAATTACATTATATTATTATATTACAAATATATGTTATATTGTTATAATATAATATAATTGTATTATATATTTGTGTAACGATAATGTATAAAATATGTAATAAATAATATGTATAATAATATTATTATATATTATATAATAGTATTACATATATTAAAATAATATAATTATTATACTACGTATATATATTATATTATTATAATATAATATAATTATATTATACTTTTATGTAACAATACTATATAAAATATACAATAAATAACATATATAATAATATTATTATATTATATTATTACATATCATATATATTATAACAATATAACACACACAGCAATATAATAATATCACATAATTATTATAATATATATAACATATTATATAACACATCTAATCGGTGAAAAATGCAATGTGCAATATAAACAAAACAGTATACCGAACAAAAAAGTATGAGAAAAAAATCATCAATTCAAGCCCCCGGGGAACCAACGAGTCTCCCAAATAAGAAAAAAGCCTCGAGAACCTTTCGACACCGATTTAGAATCGTTCTGGTACGTTTCGATGTATATTAAATCCCTTTTTAACCGGTCCTCGAAAATCGAGGCTTCACTTCACGGCGAAACGAAAGGAACGTGCGTTGAACAGGTCCTCTCTCCTCTCTCTCTCTCTCTCTCTCACTCTCTCAATCGTGTTTAAAGCTTCGTCCTGGGGCAGCCAGGCCCCGCGTGTCTCCTCTTCATTGAACACCGGGTACAGCCGTTTCTTTTTTTTTCCCCCAAACGGTATCTCAACTCTGGTACATTCTCTGCGGTTTCAAATACAGCATCTGCTTGTGGACCCGGCGCACGTGTTTATAGACGTTCGAGCTGTATTTGGAGCCGTAATCGCAGTACGTGCACCGGAAACGTATCTCGTTCGGATCGCAATGGGTACGATAGTGACGCAACAAGTGGGCGTTGTTCAGGAAGCTGTTCGTGCAACGAGGACAGCGGAACCAGCCGTCGACTTCGTTCGACAACGGTGGCCTACCTGGAAACACGGATTCATAGTCAGAAACACACGCACAAGTTTCAGCCCGATTGTAAAACGTTGACCCGTTCGGTCAATGCGGTGACCAAAAAAAAAAAAAAACAGAAACAAAAAGAAACGCTCGTCGCTTGCCGAACGAACGAATGGAAAATGTTATCATCGGGAGGGATTTCTTTCTTTTCTGTTTCGTTCGCGGATCAACGAGAGTCGTTCTCTCTCTCCCCCCTCTCTCACTCTCTCTCTCTCTCTCTCTCTCTCTCTCTCTCTCTCTCTCCAAAGCGCATGTTCCAATCAAATAACCCAGTACCCGATAGTTTATTTACAAGATGCACCGACCCTCTCTCGATCATGGCTGCCCTCTATTTCACAATCAACACCGGGAAAGAAATTATTTCTGAGCTCATTTGAAGCAACTTTTTCCTCAGCAAAAACGCAATCCGCCGCTTCGTTCACGAGTTATCAACGAAAAACAGTGACCAATGAGCATACGCCTGACGCCACGCCCTCGCGACGGCCGCCGCCGCGCAACGCGCGGCACTGACCGCTTGGGCGGAGCGCCGGCTGCCCTCGCTCTCCGATTGGTCACTGTTTTTCCTTAATAACTCGTGAACGAAGCCTCGGAGAACAATTTCGTAAAGGAAAAAGTTGCTCCAAATCACCTCAGGAATCCTCTCGTTCCTCATATTGACACAATTACGGGCCTTCCTGTAATTTCGTCGGGAGATGCGATGGAAATTCCACGGCGATCGGTGTAATTGTGGAGGCAAGGAAGATCGGGAGATGTTCATCGCGTCTTGCGAAGGTGAAACGTTTCCAAATCAGGAATTAGTGTTTTCGAGGAAGGTCGTGAACGATGGAAAGGTGACTATGGAAACGGGTTCGCAGCATTCCAAGGAACTCTTCGGCATCGCCCCGACCTCTGTCAAGGTTACGAAGCGTTCGGCATCGAGGACTGCTCGATAAACCGTGAGACTCGAGAGGTCGCTATGAAACTGAACTGAATCGCAGAGCATCGAACGGAGCTCCGAGGAGGCGTGATTGATACGTCCGCCGACCGCCCGCCCTGAAAATGAACAATGATCGATCAATAAAGGATGAACAGAGTTGCACCGAATCCGCCGAACCTTCTTCGAAAGGGAACGAAAAATGGTTCGAGCTAGGGTACAGGTCGATGAAAAATCGGGCGAAACAACGGAAAAAATAACAGCGTCGTGCGAAACGACGCGAACGAAAATCATACATATATACAGGGTGTCCCAAAAATGTCTCGCAATCCGAAAGTAGGGGATTCCTGAGGTTATTTGGAGCAACTCTTTCCTTAGCGAAAATGTAATCCGCTGCTTCGTTTACGAGTTATTAATGAAAAACAGTGACCAATCAGAGGCGAGATCGGTTGGCACGAGACGGCCGAGCCAATGAGCGGAACTGGGCTCCGAGCGCTCGTTGGCTGGGCCGCCGCGCGCCAGCCGAGCTCGCCTCTTATTGGTCCGGTGCTTTTCGTTAATAACTCGTAAACGAAGCCTCGGAGAAAATTTTCGCAAAGGAAAAAGTTGCTTCAAACGACCTCAGGAACCTCCCATTTCCGAATTGCGAGACATTTTTGGCACACCCTGTATAATCGGATGGAACTCTTCGTGGCCAACAACTGAAGAGAACGTGCGAAACATATTAAAAATAAAGCTTCGTCATCAGAGTCTCTTTTTGTTTTCTCGTTTTATCGTCCTGCTTGATTAATCGTGTACACATCGTTCATATACAATCGGTTTTTGAGCAATTCCTTTGGTTACAAGGAACCGAATTCTCCTGGCTGAAATTTACAGGCGACGCCCACCGTCGGGGCGATACAAAGTTCGCGCGCGGGCCGATCGTCGCGTAGGCTCGCGGGTCCGCAAAACCTAGTTTCAACGTCGTTCTCGTGGCAATCCCGAAGCACCGAGAATGCCGCGAGAAACGTTTGTGCGTATAGCGGGGACAACGCGAGAACACAATGCGAACAGAGACTGCTCTCTCTCTCTCTCTCTCTCTCTCTCTCTCTCTCTCTCTCTCTCTCTCTCGCAGATTCCGGATCCCGAATGCTGCAGCGGCGGGGTTCACGAAGCTCGTTCAAAGTTTCGTCCTTACGATTACGTGTCGATTAGATTAGGCTAACTGGTATATTGTTCGCAATAATAGACCGTTTATTAAATTCTTCTATCCATCGTGCTCTCCCCCCTCCTCGTTGTGTCTTTTCGCCCCTCTTCGACGATCGATACTGTTAAATGGATGGCGGCGTTTCGTAGTATGTGATTCAATTTCTAAAAAAAAAAAACAAAGAAAAGAGTCGCACGAGTATATTTGATTATATTATTCCGCATTGGGAATAATAAAACGTGACGGTAAATAAATTACCCCCCCTTTTCGGAGGTGTCCTAGGAAAAAGAGAACTGAAACTTTTTCGGTGGAACCACGGAGTACGAAACACCCTTCTGAATTCATTGTATAATTAAATTAGTTGGTTAAATCAATTATGATTGACTTAATTGATTCGATTCAATTCAATTCAATCAATTCGATTCAAATAATTCGATTCAAATAATTCGATTCAAATAATTCGATTCAATTAATTCGATTCGATTCAATTCAATTAATTCGATTCGATGCAATTAATTCAATTCAATTAATTCAATGCAATTCAATTAATTCAATTCAATTCACTTCAATTAATTCGCTTCAATTATAATCAGTTGTATGTATCGATTACGAATTACAACACCGTCGAATTCGTCGTTTCCTCGTTCGCCTAATCGCACTACACTCGAAACGCTTAAAAAAATGCGGCCCCGGCGAATCGTGTTACACAACGCACCGTTCGACTTCGTTCATCGTTTCGTCCCGATCTCGACGATCGCGACGAAAAAAAAAAAAGAAAATCGTAGGAAGACACGTTTCACTTTATTTGTACACGTTCGACGTTTATCGCGATTTACAAATTCTTCGCGGAGGTCCGTCCACGGAAAAAATAATCAAACTAGCCCGGATAGTACACAAATCGGTAACGTTCGTTTGTATCAAGCTCGCGCGCGCGCGCGCATGGCGCTGTCGATCGAAAAAAGTCTCGATGGAGATCGAGACGCAACCGCTTCGCTACGGCGATCCCATCCCCATCGAGATCGTCAGTCCAACGATCGATGCACCCATGTCACACGCTTTATACAGAGAGATCAATCAGAGCCAGCGGTCGACGCCTATGGCAGCGACGCGATCGATGGCGACGACACGGCTTCTCGTTGGTCACCGATCGCGAGAATTAAAATCAGTATACTCAGGTGGCGCAATCGATGCAAGATCCCGCGAGAATAAAATGAAAAGAATGAGCATCGTCGTCGCGGTTGCTAAAAATATTTCGCTTCGCGGCTCGCAACGAGTTGTTCGAATATTTCTCGTTGAACGGTTCATTTCTGTCGCTAGAAAAGTACCCGGCAACCCCACGGTGGAGAAAAATGACCAGGATCGCGTCGAAATCGTGGAATTTTTTTTCGGAAATGAGACTGCGAGATGATTCATTTGTGAAGAGAGCTTCTGATGTCCATATTCATAACAATATAATAATAATAATAATAATATATATACATATATATATGAACATAATATATTATTATTATATTGTATATATTATATATAATAATAATATAATATATATTATATATTATTACATATTATTACGCAATATTATTATATAAAATATAATATACAATATTAATATTCGTAAATGAAAATGTATGTTTTTCACAATTTTTAATAAAATTCCGGTTTATCCATTACGACTTCTAATCGGATATTTCCGTCGACTACATAATTTACACGTTAATTATACATAATTAATTGTATAGTTTCACAACTATTTGGTTTGACTGTACGCACTGGTACACAAATAATAAAGTATTGCTATGGTATAATATTCATTTATTATTACCATATGTTACCATATTAATAATATGGTATTTGGTGTACAAACAATAAAAAGAGAGAGAGAGAGAGGGAGAGAGAGAAAATATATACATACACAAACAAATCTACAGAACACAAGCGCATCCAATATTACATGAACATTCTCCGCGTTAAAATCGCTCCAAAATAATCATAAAAACGTCGCACACGGATCAACCTAAATTTCGTCGATAGATTCCAAATTTACCATAAACGTTCAACGTCGAAAATTCTTCCCTACAATTCTTCCCTACGTCACAAATTCTCTATTTAATTTATTTAATTTTCCCCACAATCGTATTTTCTCTATAATTCATTTAATTTAATCCCTTCATTAATTTATTTATTATTAATCGATTCCAGAAGCCTCGTCAAAGGCCAATTATAAAATCAAAATTATCTCTCTCTGTCTCGTCCACACTTTCGCCGCGAGCTTGGTCGTTTTTCTCCCACCCACCCCCCTCCCCAGGGTGCTCCGAATGTCAGGGGAACCGATGGTTGTTCCGTTGCTGCTAAAATAATCTCAATGGTCGAAGAATCGACGACGGCGCTCGTGGAGGCTGCTCGTCTCGTTCTGGTCGTTGTTCGGTTTTCAATACAGCTTGACGAACCTGAGCTCCATATTGCGGTGTTTCGCGCGTATATGCCTGTACACCGCCTGTGTATACTTGCTACGCATGTCGCAGTGGGGACACTTGAACCGTGGCAGATCGACGCACTCGAGTCTGTAGTGCCGGCTCATGCCGCCGGACGTGTGAAACGTGCGCGCGCATCTCGGGCACGGGAAGCCCCGCCGGTTCAGGGACGTCTGTAGCTTGAGCATGTGCCGGGAGTTTCGCACGACCCCGTGGTACTTGCCGAGGACGATCGGCCGGAACTCTGTAAGCAGAAAAAGAGACGAAGGCACGCCGTTAGACCGGAAGAACAACTCATGGAGGGGGGACAGCGATCTCTCTCTCTCTCTCCCTCTCTCTCTCTCTCTCTCTCTCTCTCTTTCTCTCTCTCTCCTCTGGAAACTCGGGCTAGAGTGGAGGACTTTGTTTGGGGCACTGCGGGGGCTTAAACGCAACGCCGCGTGTCCGCCCGAGATGACGATGTCGGGGGCGGGGCCCGTTCTTCTGCGAGATTCGGGCCGCGTCCAAGCCGAGGCAACGTCGAGCATTTCTTCTTCTCACCACTCTTATCGTGTTTATTTAATTTGATCGAATTCGATGAGATTGTAATCAAAGCTGAATTAAATTAAATCAAATTAAATGGAATAAAATAGAATTGAATAAAATTGAATAAGAATGAATTAATAAAATTAAATAAAAATAGATTAATAAAATTGAATAAAAATAAATAAAAGTAAATTAAATTAAACAAAACTAAATAAAAATTAAATTAAATAAAAGTAAATTAAATTAAGCAAAAATAAATAAAAATAAACAAAAGTAAATAAAGATAAAGTTAAATAAAAATAAATAAAAGTAAATTAACTTAAACAAAAAGTAAATAAAGTTAAACAAAAATGAATGAAGTTAAATAAAAATAAATAAAAATAAGCAAAATTGAATAAGATTGAATAAAATTAAGCTAAACGAAAACGTTCCAGAAGCGTCTCGTCTCTCGTTGCTTCGGCGTAGACGCAGTATCGACGCAGGACAGTCAGCGAGAGCGCGGCTCGACGGTTTTATCGATCGCCGTTTACGTTCGACGAACGGTTCCGCTCCCGATGGCCGAGCCCTCTCGGGTAGACGCGCGGCCTAAGTTGAAGCGGCTACTTCGAAAATCGTCTAGCTGGCATAATCTGAAAGATCGTTCCAAACCGCGTGTGCGGTCGCGTTCGTAAGCACTCGGCCGCCTTCGCTATTTTCGCGCTGGAAAAGTAAAACGCGACGCGTATTTATCGATGAAAACATGTTTTTAGGGCAGAGTGGAGCCGGTTACTGTGGGGGGTGTGGCCAATCGCTGCGCGTTTAGTTCGTTTCCGGGCAAAAAGTGACTCGATTAATGGTTAATCGTTACAACTCGTTAATTGTTACAAGCTGTTGCAAACTGGCTTTAATAACAAATGGTTAATTATTAATCGGACTACATTTTGCCCAATTAATACAAATTAGTAGTCGTAATAATCAACGAGTTGTAATCGTTGACAGGATTGCTTTCTGTACAACTTTAGTTTGACTAACTTTATATTTATCGAACAACGCGTATGAAATCCGTTTATTCTTTTATTCCGTTCGTCTTCGGATAAAAGAAACGTAACGCCTTGTTCGACGAATGTAAAGTAAATCGCGGCCGGAAACGAAGCAACGGCACTGCGATCGGTTGCCGCACGGTAACCGGCTCCGCTGCCCTGTTCGTCCAGTAAAATGCAATTAAAGCCTGGCGCGTTGCAACAATTAAAATCATGGTCGAGATACGAGGGAACATCGAACGAACATATATCGAATTTACACGGTGTCCCAAGATTATTGTCCAAGCGAGAAACGAGGGATTCCTGATGCGATTTGAAGCAACTTTTTCCTTTGCGAAAATGCGATCCGCGGCTTCGTTTGCGAGTTATCGACGAAAAACAGTGACCATTGAAAGATCGCGTGCGGCTGACGCCGCGTCAGCCGACGCTGACCGCGAGGGCGGAGCGCCGGCCGCCCTCTCTCTCCGATTGGCCTACGTTTTTCGCTGATAACTCGCGAACGAAGCCTCGCAGAAAAATTTCATAACGGAAAAAGTGGCTTCAAATCGTCCGAGGAACCCCATATTCCTCGCTCGTGCAATTATCTTCAAACACCCGGTAAAGGGGTCGCAGCGTCGCGGTTCACCGATGCGGAAACGTGCGAATGCTTACGAACAGCGACGTGTCGCTGTGTCGAGAATTTCGTGGAGCCGGGGAGAGCTCGATCAAGCGTCATATAGGGGATCATTCGACGTATATTTCTCTCGCAAACAACGTGTCATACGCCGCTTACATTTTCTTTATTAACACGATTTACATTATCCTCGCCTTGTCTCGCCTCGCCTCGCCTCGCCGCGCCTCGTTCGTCGCTAATAAAGCATCGAGACGGCGACCAATCCTCCGACGTGCACCCTCCGAATATGCTTGTAAATGGCGGACGTCCACTTGCTCACGTACTTGCAGTGCGGGCACTGATAACGCGGGTACGCGTCGCACAATTTATAGTGACGGTTCATCGCGTACTTCCGCGGAAACGTCTTCTTGCACTTCGCGCACGCGTACTCCCCCTCCGAGGCGGCCGCGTCGTCCGTCGGCGGGCCGCGTTGCGTCCAAACGTCGAGTATCCGCGGACCAACAACGTTCCGCGGCCACTCGCACCCTGAAACAGAAACCATCACGCGGCCTTGTTAATACACGCCGGCGGCTGTGATCACAGGGCACCGAACGATCGAGCCAGGCGAACGTAATCTTTACGATCGAATCGGGGAAATCAATTCAATCAGACACGTCGGACGCGAGCCGCACCGTCGGCCGTGTCGTGTGCTCTGCGTGACATCTGAAACGAGACAGATCGGAAGGTTCGTTAATCGAATGTTGCGGTGACGCGGACTCGTCGGAGCCCGTCGAGCCGCGCGGCGGTTCCCCTGAAACGTAGCTGTGGGATAGATTGAACGGAGGAGAGGCTTCTGGTTGTTGTTGTTGTTCTTGGTCGACTTTATTCTTTCTACTGAGGAACACTTACCTCAGGAACACTGAACCGCATTAGATAAAATCGCGGGACAGACGCAACGATCGCGTGTCTCTGACGAGATTGTCAAACATTGGAGAAATAATTCCAACAGAACGCGGCTTACGCGCGGAAGCTTCGACGGTAAGAGCTTTATTTCTTGCTTCGTGCACAGAGATCGAATATCGCAGCCTTTTATGGTGTTAAATAAAGAAAAGGAGGACGATTGGATCGACGAAGCGTCGCGCGCGGCTCGTCCGCTCGGAGACTCGTTTCTGCGGCACGAGCGAATGAAACGAGAAATAATCGAGATTAAATTCGAGATGATTGCGAGCGTTCCGCGCCCGTTCTTGCGTCTCCGTTCGCGCGAATCGAAGCGTCGTTCGTGGCGAGAACATTTAGAAAGAGCATATTTAGTAAATGACACCGTAAAACCGCGTCGTCGTCGTCGCCGTTCGATGACGTCACGCTGGCCCGACCAGCTTTCCGTACAATAAATAACGAAATGGCACAATACGACCCGAATCGCGAATACCCTGTGTTAGTTTGATGCAAACCAAGTGATTAACAAGCTTCGGTAACGATTACATCGAGATAGATATTACGACGAAACGATTACATGTCCCCCGTTGAAACAACGTACCACGATTTATACAATGTCTTTTTGTTTGTTTAAGTACACTCGAACTTTCGCTGCGATCCCTTTACCGGGTGTTCGAAATAATTGCACGAGCGAGGAACACGGGGTTCCTCGGGTGATTCGAAGCAACTTTTTCCTTTACGAAAATGTTCTCCGAGGCTTCGTTCGCGAGTTATCAGCGAAAAACGTGGACCAGTCGGAGAGAGAGAGAGAGGGCCCCGCGCTCCGCCCTCGCGGTCAGCGCCGCGTCTAGCGCGGCGGCGGCGGTCGCGAGGGCGTGGCGTCGGCCACACGCGATCTCTCGTTGGTCACACGGTTTTTCGTCGATAACTCGCGAACGAAGCCGCGGATCGCATTTTCGCAAAGGAAAAAGTTGCTTTAAATCGCCTCGGGAATCCCATTCTCGGTTCGGTTGCTCGAGTCGCTGAAATCGTGGAAAGTACCTTCGCCACGGCGGTCCGCGTTACACTTTTTTTGTTTCGACGGCGCGAGAAATCGGACGCGCGCAGGATACGGATAAGTACAAAGTCGAATGAAACGAATGAATGCGTCGCGCTCGACGCGACGGCTCAATAGAGCTTGACCAGCGTGACCAGCTCCTTCGGGTGCATACACCTGATATGTTGATATATGTTCGATGTCTTCTTGCTGCACAGTGTGCAGTAAGGACACTTGTATCGCGGCGCCTTGCCGCATTCGTACCTAAAGTGACCCAACATTGTGTCTCGCCTGCCGTATCCGTTGTTACAGTTAGGACAGTGAAATTTCCCGGTGTTCGCGTTGTACAGGGCGTCCCGTATCTTCACGAACCTCTTCGGCCGCGTCAGGCGAACCTCGTCGCCGCGCCTGCCACCTACAAAATATCGCATCAGGGTCAGGATGATCGTCAGCCAGCCGACCGTTCGCGGAACAAAACGTTTCTCTTTTCTTTCTTTTTATCTTTTATATTTTATTTTTAACGTTCGTTCGAGAATCGAATTTGTCGAATTGCTTCGGCGGTTTTGAAAATCGTTCGTTCGATTTCCCTGTCAGCTTTCAATATACAATATATCGGGATGCGAAACGAAGACACAGAGGGGTGGGCCGGGGGTGGGGGTGGGGGGCAAGGATGTGGGCATGCATAGAGAAGGAGAAATGAAGCTCGAGAAAAACACAGAGAAGAATGCCCTGCAACTGTCCCATAATTATTACAGATCAGTTCTATGAGGTAGCCGAGCCACAGTCCCCGCCAATTGAATTTCTCTCAATTTTCGAGCCCGCGCCCCCCTCGACAAGAGCTCGCCGATCGAGACGCGATGAATTTCGAACATTTTCGAACAGTCGTTTTCTTAAAAATATGCGCATCCGCCGATGCGCCATATGTGTACATAATATATATACATGTATATAATATTAATATCCAATTGAAATTGAATCGTCGAGAGAATGGCGGCGAGCTCTTATCGAGGGCGCACTGTGACCAGTAAGCGAGTACACATCGACCATCGCCAAGAAGAACCGAGTCGGCCCAACAAAAGCGTTCGACTCACTAGAATCGATTTTATTCATCCAAGCAGCAATCGCGCCGATATTTGCGTGGCTGTCGCGCCTTCGTTCGCCCTCTCTCTCTCTCTCTCTCTCTCTCTCTCTCTCTCTCTCTCTCTTCGGCCATCGATCGTACAAAGTGTTGCCTTAAATACGTTACAGTCAAGCGTGCTCGGAAATTCGAACGAGTTACGAACATTCGGTCCGTATTTCATGTTCGTGAGGCACCGAGGGGAGCACCGGTTAATAATAAAACCGAATAAATAATAAAAAAAAGGACACACTGCGAAAATAAACGGCGGCGGCTGAAGAGAAAAGAAACATCGTCGCGTAATTTCTCCCTAATTCGCGCTCAGACTGTGCATAAAAATCCTGTCGAATGGCTCGGAAATAAATTAAAATTCAATTAGTGGAGCCGGTTACTGTGGGCTGACCGATTACCGTGTCCTCGGTTTATTTTCGGGATAATCAATTTTACGTTTATCGAACTAGATGTATTCAATTATTTTCCATTCGGATAGAAACAAAATAAGGGAATAAATAATTTTAATATATATCTTGTTCGATAAATATTATGTTAATTACGCCGAAAATTGAACCGAAGGGTTCCGGTCGCGCAATCCAAACGCGAATTAGAAGAGAAATTACTGTATTTCTACTTGAACATTCAATGGGGTCCCGTTGAATGTCGGAAACAAATTTTGGGGTAGCGGAGCCGATTACTGTGTGGTGACCAATCACTGTGCCACCGGTTTATTTGCGGGATAATCAACTTTATATTTATCGAACTAGACGTATTAAACTCTTTTAATTCGCATAGAAAGAAAATAAAAGAATAAACAATTTTAATACATCTTGTTCGATAAATATTAAGTTAATTACACCGGAAAAGAAACCAAAAAGGGTTCCGATCGCGAATTAGGAACAGATCACAGTACCACGCAATGGTCACAGAACGACAGGGGAATCTCTTGTCTCTCGCCGAACACATTTAACCGTAACATATTTATTTCAACGCTTTTGCGACCCGCGAATCGAGCGTCCCCGGTAGACTTAATCACCGTGTTCAAAACTCACGGTTCAACGTAACAGGCCGCCGCGTGGAACATCGCGCAACCAGCCGTCCAATCCGCGAATAATTTATACATTCATTTATTGCCCACGGAAACGGATCCGTGAAATATGTACACACCGACGCGACAGGCACGGCCCGCGTTAAATCGACCGAATAAAAAGAATACGAACGCGCGCGGCTTCGCGGCTCCGTCGCGAGAACCTTGAACGTCTCCGAAAGCGTCGTGATTCGTTGTTCGTCGGAGAAAACCGAGAAAAAACGTGGACGCTCGGCCGAGAGCTTCACGGAGCTTCGCAGAGCTTAGCAGAGCTTCGCAAAGCTTTGCAGAGCTTCGCAGAGCTTAGCAGAAACTTCGTAGAGCTTCGCAGAAACTTCGCAGAGCTTCGCAGAAACTTCGCAGAGCTTCGCAGAAACTTCGCAGAGCTTCGCAGAAACTTCGCAGAAACTTCGCAGAGCCTCGACTGCTTCCGCTTCGGCCGCGGCTCCGCGAGGCGGCCGGCTAAAACACAGCGACGCTAAACGAAACGATACGCGCGAACTGAATGATCCTGATAAACCGCAGCCACAGAACTCGTTCACCATCGTCTCCGGGATCGTCCGTGCTCGCCGATCTCGTCGAGGGCCCGGGCGACCGGCGCGAGAACGCGCGAGCGTCCCGCACATTCCGAACGCGACCGGCGCGAGAACGCGCGATCGCCCCGCGCGTCCCGGACGCGACCGGCCGTCCCCTAGAACAGCGTGTTGCACACGACCGGTTTCAGGGGATGCTTGTGACGTATGTGATCCTGTATATTGAACTTCTTCTTGCTCAGCTTGCCGCAGTAGGGGCACTCGAAGCGCGGCGGCTTGCCGCAGTCGTACTTGAAGTGCGAGGTGACCGCGCTCTTCGTCGTGTAACTCTTCCGGCAACGGGGACAGGGGAACCGGGTTTTACCTTTCCGCAAGCTCCGCTCCGGGCACTTCTCCTCGAGCCAGGGCAGCGGCAACATTTGCAGCAGGGCTGAAAAAGAAACGGTAGATCCTGGTTAGAGCGGCCGAACGGACGGGCGTCGAGTCTCTTTTTTCGGGGCCTAGGGAGACACCTCTGGGCCTCTGACGCTCTCGTTCCCCCTTTTTCTCCCCCCCTCTCTCTCTCTCGATTTTTGTCGTGTTTCATCGAATCGATCCTCGCGCGGGATCCGGACTTTCTATTCGGGGGGTTAGCGGGGGCGGTGGCGGAGATACTTTACGGAGAGACACATTTAATAAACGGATGGACCGGTTTTCGGAGAAGAGACTGTGCTTTGCAGGCTGACACACTCGCGCGGTGGCACAATACTTTAAATACTGAGTTAAACAGAGACAAACAAAGAAAGCGGTTGCAGGCATCTCGAAGCTGTGTGTGTACGGAGACAACGAATGAAATCTGAACGAGGTCCTTGTCGTGGAAACGTCCGGCAATTCTGATCTCTTCGGCCTGAAGAATTTAAACCTGAACGGTCCACCCCCGTCTCTTCCTCGGCGGCGTCGAGTTTCGCATCTGAAAACACGATTGAGAATGTGTTAATTGGCTCGCCTAGGTTCGGAGGGGCGACGCGCGTTCGTCCGAGCCAGGATGCGAAGAGGCCGAAGGGGCGGGGCAATGAGCACACACGCCTTTCTGTCGAAAAATTATGTCTTTATTTTATAGAAAAAAAATGAAAGGAGACACGCACGAGAGCCGGCCTCATTGTTGATCGTAATCGAGCACTATCACCTCCAGGTTCATTCCGGGATGCTTGCTGCGTATGTGCTTGTAGACGTTGTTCGATTGCTTACTCCTCATCCCGCAATAGGGACACTGAAACCTCGGCGGGCTCCCGCACTCGAGCTTGCAATGGCGCAACATGTGGTGCATGTGCTGATAACTCTTCCCGCACTTTGGGCATGTGGACCTGACGGATCGTTACGTTGTTACAACTATATAAGCTTGCAACGTCGGCCTATTCGTTAACACATTCACCGCCATGACGGTCACACCGAGAGCTTTCCAGTCATGTAATGAATGTGTTAACCCATCGACTGCCGACTACGAGATGTCCCGTAGCAAGCGTCTGTACCAAAACTGCCAGCTACGAAGTATCTCACGTAGTGTGGGTGCTCTGCAAGTTCAGATATGGCTACGAATGGCTATTTGAGTTGGGAACTATTTAGAAAGGATGAGTGAAAAATGTATATACAGGATGTCTGAAAAATGTCTCGCGACCTGGAAAAAGGGGTTCCTGAGTTCATTCGAAGCAACTTTTTCCTCAGCGAAAATGTTCTAGGAGGCTTCGTTAACGAGTTATCCACGAAAAAGCAGTGACCAATGAGAGGCGAGCTCGCCTAGCGCTAGGCGGCCGAGCCAATGGACGGAGCTGGGCTCCGCGCGCTCGTTGGATCGACCGCCTCGCGTCGGCAGAGCTCGCTTCTTATTGGCGTCGGCGTTTTTCATGAATGGCTCGTGAACGAAGCCGCGGAGAAAATTTTTGTAAAGGAAGAAGTTGCTTCAAATGATCTGAGGAATCCACCGTTTCCGGATTGCGAGACATTTTTGGGACACCCTGTAGCGTAGAGAACAAATTGATTATCGATAAAAAAAAAGATACTGTAAATGCCATTGCAATATTATATCGCTAACTTAATGTTATATTATATTTTGTAAAACTTCATTGTTTTCAATCAAATAAAACCGTGGCACCCAGGGCGAGACGCGCTAAATTTGCGTGGCAGTCAATGGGTTAAAACGCGTCTTTTTGTCTTTTCCCGTCGAGCTGCGGGATATTGTATACGGCGTTCCGGCGTCACTGCGAAGCTACAGTCGTCCGCGAAAGTGGTTCGCACGGAATTCGAAAACGCGATCGCTTGTTTTCAAACTCGATTAAATTACCTGAATGTTTGTTTGTTTGTTTTTCTGATCGGAGTAGACTAGTCTACCCGGAAGATGCGCTAAAATCCCTTTCTTTTTAATTTTGCTGTTACAGTAATGTCTCTCTAATTGACGCTCAGATTGTCCACGAAAGTGGACAATTTGGGGAGAGGAGATACGATTATTCGAGCCCTGCGAAATAAAATAAAAAAAATAAAAACCAGCTGCAGGGCTCGAATAATCGTATCTCCTCTTCCGAAATCGTCCATTTTTTTTCTTTGCACAATCTGAGCGTCGATTAGGGAGAAATTACTGTACTTGGGATGACGTAAAAAAAGAGAATAAGAAACTCTCGTTCTTGAACTTTTCTTAAGCGAGCTTGTAACAAAAATTTAAAAGATGCCTTTTCGAATAGCATTTTTTAAATAATTGAAATAGGCTCGGATAAAAAAAGTTGAAAAAGAAGCCGAGAGTTTTTTATTTATTTTTGTCATCGCAATAGCGAAATTAAAAAAGAAAAGAAAAGAAGCATTTTGATCGTCGTCCGGTCACGCTGTCGTCGAGCAAAAAGAATTCAAGTCGCTTTGAAAAAAAAGCGATCGCGCTTTTAAAAAGGTGTGCGAGGAACAGTTTCGCGGCCGACTGTACGTCGAACGGCGACGAAAGTGTAGTTAACACAGTTAGAATGGAAACAAATTGCGTTGGTAAACAAATGAAATATATTTATTCGATAAGAATTGCGATGTGGATGATTATATGGGCATGTCACGGTGAACCTTATTGAAGCATGGCAAACAGAAGTAAGGGTTCCCATGGCAATCGTCGCAGAACGTTACAACCTTTTTCGTACGATTTTTTGCAAATTGTCGACCAAATCTCTTCACATTCTCTTCGTAGCATTTTTTGCATTGCCGTCTCGTGTACCGAGTGTTTCCGTCTTTGCTTCGCAATTCGTGACGCACTCTAGGCAAAGAGAGAGACATACAACACACACACGGTCATTTTGTCGTTGAAATCTGTCTGGATTTATAATAATCGTCACGCGGATTTATAATAATCATCAATTCGGATTTACCAGTTTTTCTCAATTTCCGCTCCGCTTTCTCCTTCTTCGCGCGCGTATAAAATAATCCGAGATCCACGTGAACGGAAAGTCGGGTAAATTTCTCTTGGCGGTGAATGTATCAACCACTTCTCGATCGGGCACCGCCAAAATTAATAACCGCCGCATTCTCGATGCCCTGCGCCGCCGCGATGCGCGCGCGCGCGTCGACACGGCGCAGAAAAAGCGACGCAACTTTGTGAACGCGTCGAATAATAGGTTAAATAGGGTAAGCGTAGGTATTATATATTGCAATTTCTCAAAAAAAAGCGTACTTTGACAGAGAAAATATTATATAATTTTCTGCCAACAAATTGACGCGAGTTAAGCTGTATATATTATGCTTTAATAATTTAATCAATATGAATTAATTTCTTCTCATAAATATCACGAATAATAAATATAATAAAAATAATAACTTCTCTCGTAAATATCACGAATAATAAATATAATAAAAATAATAACTTCTCATAAAATATACTGTATCTCTGAAAACACAAATTTCATTGAACAACACAATGCAAAGAAACCATAAGTGCGCATATATATATCACTGCGCTTATATTTCGATTGTGTCAAATACCGCGCCTGTCAAATACTGCGAACGTTTCTGTCATTATGTGTCAAATACTTCGAACAGATTATCACGTGTCAAATATTACGGACATACCGATTGCTGCATTCTCTGCATTTCTGCGTTTCCGAGATATCTGCGCAACAGAGTTTTCCCCGCGAATTTCTTGCAACGCTAACGCCACGTTTTCCTTAGCGCAGCATCATAACCTTACATTTCTCCTTTTCTTTGTATCGCTCGACCGTTCTCTATCACTCCGTCCCTTGCACTTCTCTTCCATCGCACTTTTCCCGATTTTCTTTTAAACGTACACACACAACTACAGTTCCAAAAAATCAAGATTATCTCACTACAGCACTTTACAAAATTAGGTACAGGTACCCTCCACGATCGAACATATTTGCGCCCCGCACACCGAGAACTGCGCTGCATAGGTAAGGTGCGTAGTTCCGGAAAGCACCGCGCAGTTGTGTACGCACACTGTCGAAAAACGTGTATTCACAATGTTCGAAGATAGATGGCAGTGACGGTGCGCGTCGGTTTTTGATCGAAGCAACGATTATTGTAACGAAGAAGAATAACGCTAAATTCAATTCATTTAAATTGAGTTCATTATTAATTACCAAAATATAAGTGCCTTTCGAATCAACGTCCACGACTGCCGTTACAGGTATTTAAAATTATATTAATTATAAATTATTAAAATAGTATAAGTATTGAATTATAAGAATCAAATAATTAAATTGAAACCGCGATTGCTGTTACTGCGCAGCAATTGTACGTCAATATTATAAAAAAATTACGAGATTCATTTTTAGAAGATCACACGCCATAAAATGTTCGATTTCGTTGTTTCTATAAAACGTCGTAGTATTTGGTGTTATAAACGTCGCACTATTTCCGCAAGCAATACCCACACTTGCGAGCAATTGTGCGTCAATATTAAACGTATAAAAAATTACGAGATTCATTTTCAGAAAATCACACGCTATAAAATATTCGATTTTATTGCTTTTACAAAACGTCACAGTATTCGGGACGTCCGCAATTAATACCCGCACTTACCCTAGGCAATTCGAGATCAAAACAATATCCATTTTCCTCCTGAAACGTTATAGCGAACGCGCGAGAATCCTGCAATCGAGAAGTGGTTAACGTTCTTTTTCTTTTCTTTCTTTTTCGTTTTGTTCAAATCCCAGAAGCAAAAACCACGAGTTCAGGTTATGTTTTTTGATCGGCTAACTAACCTGTCGCCGTTCCCGAGTTTCGAGCCCGCCTGTCGCTGACAATACGGCTGCCCTTGCTGCTGGCCCTGATTCGGCATCCCAGTTAACGGCGAATAGTATACGAAGCCTGGAATCAAAATTACAGAAACGTGAAGAGATTTCCGGCGGGCGGAGGACGGTCGATGAACGCGGAAGGGATCGGACGAATCCGGTTATTCGAGTTATTGGTTAACGGGACGGAACACCTTTCTTTGGATTCGCCCTTCGAACGACCTTCGGGTTTGGGAAATATGACAATGCCTCGGTTAAATGTTTCTCTTTTTTTTTATTATACATTCTCCGCTCAGGCTTACACGCACGCACACACGCACACGCGTCCGACGAAGTTCGATTCGAACGAACGTAGCGCCGCGAGAGGTCGCCTCTGTCCGACACAAGCTTGGATCACGTAGTCCAAAACGCCGGCCATTAAGATCGCGAACTGCATTTCGTATCGAACGGACGATCCAGCCGATAATTCGCCCCGATAATTCAAGATCGAAGGGAAACGATAGCACGAACAACGGTCGCTTACAAAACTCTGAAATAATAAATATAATCTTGTTAAATCGGATAGAGATTTGGATACAAATTCGGACTTCGAAGCTCGGCGACAGTTGCTGCGCCATCGAGGAGATCATCCCTGTTGCCGCGACACAGCGGAGCCGATTGCTGTGCCCTCGCTTCGATTTCGGCGACACGAGAGAAGCATAGACAGGTATGAAAAATCGTATTGCAAAATAAAGAAGAAAAAAAAGAAAGTGAAAGGATACAAAATATGCGGCAATTTATTCAGTGATCGGCCCCACTATAACCTTGACATAACCTTGACCATAAGCAGGTCCGCACGGAAGCCTAATTCTTGCGCGCGTAGAATTGCCGATTGGTGGCGACGTCGACGAGAAACACGCGCATGCCGCGGTGCTTGGTCCTGATGTGCCTATACACGTTCGAGATCTCTTTCGAGTGCATTTCGCAGTAGGGACACTTGAACCTGGGCCCCTGGCCGCAGCCATAGCGCACGTGCCGCCGGAGGTTCGTCTCGCGGGTGAACCCGCTCGGGCAGTTCGGGCAGCAGTACTTCTTCGACCTGTTCCGCCACGCGGCGTAGCCCCAGCACGCTGAAACAGAAAACGCAGCGAGATACTTGCGCAGAGTCCCAGGCAGTTCCAGCAACGAGACACAAAGATCGCCGACGACATTGTTCGTGCGTGCAAACTACTACAAAATATCTAGGATCCCGTCGGTCCCCCGGCTGTGTAGACCCTCCTTCGGTAAGTCGCTCGTTAGCGGGAGTTTCCTTCTTTTTTTTCAGTGACGACAACCGTTTAAAACCGAAACGAGAAACGATCGAATTGTTGCTTGAGATCATCTCGATCGCCAGTGATCGTTATTAATCACGAACACAGTTTTCGGTTTACCGACGACCGTTGGAAACGACGGGAATAGCTTTTGGTCGCGATATCAAGAGAGAGGGAGATATAGAGAGAGATAGCGAGGGAGAGGGAGATATAGAGAGAGATAGCGAGGAAGAAAAGGAGAGAGAGGGAGAGAAGGAGAGAGGGGGAGAGATAGAGAGCTCGAGAAGGAGAGAGAGAGAGAGGGAAATATAGAGAGAGATAGCGAGGGAGAGAAGGAGAGAGAGAGAGGGAGAGACAGAGACGCTCTAAATCTCTCTCTCCATCTTCAAGCCCAAAATCGTCCGCGTCTTCGGGTTTCCCGAATAAACAGCCTCGGTCTCCATATTCCTTGCCGAATATAGAAAAACAGAACCTCGCAGGAATGAGGAAAAACATTGAATTGAATAGACGGGTGATCGGTTTTAAGTACACTTTTAGTCGCAGAATTTCCTAAAGTTGTCTGTACATGCCGCGCGCGCACGTCTGCGCCAATCATCGGTTCGTTCAAAATATCAACTTGTCCGGGATCAGCGGCGCCGCGTCTTTCGGGAAGTAGGTCCTCTGGTTCTCCACGTCGATCGCGAACACGTCGTGCAGCTCGTGGAGCCGTTTCACGTGCTTGTACGTGTCGGACGGATAGCGGGACTTATAGGGACAATAGGGACACTTGTAACGCGGCTCCTTCCCGTTGCAGGCGCTGACTACGTGCCGTTTCAGATGGACTTTCGTGGAGTAATTGTTCGGACAGTTCAAACACTGATACGGTTTCACGTTCCACGGGCAGTAGCTGTACCAATCGGTGTAGTATCCTGGAACAGAATCGGAAAACGGTCGTGTTTCTAAATCGTGAGCAAGCCTCTCTCTTTCTCGGCTACGGATTTTAAAATCGTTTAACTACGCCGACGCACGCTGTGCTGCGTCTTGCTCGCCACGCTTCCTTTTTCGTGATAGAAAGTCGGACTCTGATTATTATTTTGGTTCGGATAGAAAATGTTCGTTTATTTCGTTCTCGTGCACAGTTCAATTCTTACAAGATGGCGGCCGAGCGACCGCGCGACAAATTATAATTATAATTAATAATTATTATAATTATAATAATTATAATTGTAATAATTATAATTACAAGGGTCCGTCGTCGTCGTCGTCGTCGTCGTCGTTTCGACGTCGTAGAACCAAGCGAGCTCGACGCGGCGTCCGAGACCACGGGTTTGGAAATACGCATCTCCCTCTGCGTCGATGTTCGCGAGCCCGCGTAACTTTGGAATCGGCCGTTTTTCCGCTCGAATGGAACCGGATTTTCGGAGCGTTTCTCGCTCGACGCGAGACGGCCGACGCCCTTTTCCCAGTGACGGAGCAATCGTCGGGACCGCGAGAGAAAAAAAAAAGGAGTCGCAGACGCATCGCGAAGGGTGGATTTCCGTCGAAACGACGACGCGCGGACGAAACGAACGGTTCCTCCGCAACGAAGCCGCGCGAACGTTGCCCCGTCGATTCGACGGATTCGAAACGTACCGAAAGCGGAGGAGGGATCATCTTCACCCGGAAAATCGAAGCGTCCGCCCGGTGGCTTGCGCGCGCGCGCGCATTACAGCTTGTCGGGCTGACCGAATATGTCGACGACGAACACATTGAAATTCGCGTGTTTCTTTCGGATGTGCGAATAAATGTGGGACGTCTTTTTACTTCGTTGATGACAGTACGGGCATTGAAAGCGCGGCTCCTGCATGCATTCGTACTTCAAGTGCCTGGTCAGGCTCGGCTGTTGGCCAAAGCCGCTCGGGCAGTTCGGACACGGGAACTTCTTTCCGATTCGACGGACGTTGTTGATACCTAGAAGGAGAAAAAGTCGGCGTTATTCGTAAAACGAAACGATGCGGGGCTGTGTGTCGGGGCAGCGTGCCTACCCCCCTACCCCCCTCGCCACAGGCATTTCCATCGAGCTTTAATTTCCGCTCGGGCGCGCGCGGGGAGGGTATCGTTTCTTTCTAATTCGCGCTCGGATTGCGCTATTGAACCCTTTCATTTACTTTAGGGCGTAATTAATAACTTAATATTTATCGAATAAAATATATCAAAAATTTTTATTCTCTTATTTTATTACTTTCCGAATTAAAAAAGTTTAATACGTCTCGTTCGATAAATATTGAGTTGATTGTCCCGAAAATAAATCAAAGGCACAGTAATTGGACAGCCCACAGTAATTGGTCAGTCCACAGTAACAGGCTCCGCAACCCTAAATTGGTTCCAACATTCAACGGAACCCCATTGAACGTTCAAGTAGAAGTGATTTCTCCCTAAAATTCGCGCTCAGATCGCGCCATTGAACCCTTCGGTCCCCTTTCGAGCATAATTAACTTAACATTCATCGATCAAGACGTATTAAAATTGTTTATTCATTTATATCGTTCGATTCCACAAATTAAAAAAACAGTTTAATACGTCTCGTATCTCGTGATTAACTTAAAGTCAATTACGCCCGAAAATAATAAAACCAAAGGCACGGTAATCGGCCAGCCCACACAGTAACCGGCTCCGCAACCCTGAATTGGCTCCGAACATTTAATGGACTGAGCACAAATTGGAAAACGTTCTTTCAACTGTGCCATCGATATTTGCCGCTGCTTTTTGCGAAAATATCGGCTACGGAAATTCGATGTTCCTTTTGCGATCGATGCTCTTCTTAGCATCGTCAGCTTCTGTTCAACGTCGCCCATTGCTAGTTCGAACCCCGACGAAGCCCGGAGGACACGGAACAGTGCGGTACACGCGTGAGCGATGCACGGTTTTTTCGTCGTTAGGAAGGAAAAACCGATGCTAGATGCGATGTCGTTGGGTTTCCTCGGATTTGAAACGATGAGTCTCGGTTCGTAAATTTGCTTTAATTAGGTACATACATCGTGAAAAAGAAGGGTTCGCCTTGTGTGTCGGGACGTCCGTTCCTTGACGATTCCGAGAAGAAGAAGAAGAAGGTGAATCGGGGTTGGCAGGGTCGTGTATTTTGTACAGGATGATTGTGTTTGTTATTTAAAAAAAAAACAAAGAAGTCGAAACTGTTGTGTCTCGAATAACGATCTTATTCTTCGAACAAAAATCCAGAGCTCTGTATCTCTCTACACTGCATTGTCCTCTTCGCGGAGCTTGCGACTCGCTTAACTCGACGATCTCAAATTGTTTGCAAACCGTTTGCGAGATTAAACGAACGAAGTTGCACGGTTAATTAGAAGGCAGATGATCTCGCGTTGTGGATTTTCTGAGAATTCTCATCATCTCATCGTCGACGCGGATTTATTGTTAAAGGTCAATTAGTAGTCGGACGAGGGCGTTTCAAATTAGAATATGTTAGAAAGATATGCAGGAAAGGAAATTAAATTGTAATTTCTGTAATTAATATATTACGTAATATTAATTATACGTAATCGTACGATTACGAATCGCGGTGTTATTGAATTAAAGCAATATATATATTATATTCCAATTGCATTGTATTTGAATTACATTGTATTTCAATTGCAAGAAAGCAATTCCAATTGCATCGTATTTGAATTGCATTCTATTTTAATTGCAAGGAAGCAATTCCAATTGCATTGTATTCAATTTAATTGTATTTGAATTACATTGTATTTCAATTGCAAGAATGCAAGTTCAATTGCATTGTATTCAATTGCATTGTATGTCAATTACATTGTATTTCAATTGCATTGTATTTGAATTTTATTGTTCTTCGATTGCAATGTATTATAATTGCACTGTATTTCAGTTGCATTCTATTTAAATTGCACTGTATTTCAATTACATTGTATTTAAATTGCAATGTATTTAAATTGCACTCTATTTCAATTACATTGTATTTCAATTACATTGTATTTCAATTGCACTGTACTTGAATTGCATTGTATTTAACTTGCAATGTATTTCAATTGCATTGTATTTAACTTGCAATGTATTTCAATTACATTGNTTGCGACTCGCTTAACTCGACGATCTCAAATTGTTTGCAAACCGTTTGCGAGATTAAACGAACGAAGTTGCACGGTTAATTAGAAGGCAGATGATCTCGCGTTGTGGATTTTCTGAGAATTCTCATCATCTCATCGTCGACGCGGATTTATTGTTAAAGGTCAATTAGTAGTCGGACGAGGGCGTTTCAAATTAGAATATGTTAGAAAGATATGCAGGAAAGGAAATTAAATTGTAATTTCTGTAATTAATATATTACGTAATATTAATTATACGTAATCGTACGATTACGAATCGCGGTGTTATTGAATTAAAGCAATATATATATTATATTCCAATTGCATTGTATTTGAATTACATTGTATTTCAATTGCAAGAAAGCAATTCCAATTGCATCGTATTTGAATTGCATTCTATTTTAATTGCAAGGAAGCAATTCCAATTGCATTGTATTCAATTTAATTGTATTTGAATTACATTGTATTTCAATTGCAAGAATGCAAGTTCAATTGCATTGTATTCAATTGCATTGTATGTCAATTACATTGTATTTCAATTGCATTGTATTTGAATTTTATTGTTCTTCGATTGCAATGTATTATAATTGCACTGTATTTCAGTTGCATTCTATTTAAATTGCACTGTATTTCAATTACATTGTATTTAAATTGCAATGTATTTAAATTGCACTCTATTTCAATTACATTGTATTTCAATTACATTGTATTTCAATTGCACTGTACTTGAATTGCATTGTATTTAACTTGCAATGTATTTCAATTGCATTGTATTTAACTTGCAATGTATTTCAATTGCATTGTATTTAACTTGCAATGTATTTCAATTACATTGTATTTAAATTGCACTGTACTTGAATTGCATTGTATTTGAATTACACTTGTGATTAAAATAATTAACAATCGAATGAATTGAAGCAATAAATTCTCCCCAATCGTCCTTCAGCTTGTGAACGAAAATAGCCATTTTTGGAAGGAAAGATACTACTTTTCAAAGCACTCTTTACTTTTGACCCATGAAGCCGAAATAACCGTATCTCCTCTTCCCAAATCGTCCACTTCTGTCCCTCCAAGCCGAGGAATAATTATAGAAAATTCAATTCTTCTCTAGACAACCTACACATGGATCCACAATTTTCCATATCAAACAACCTCACCCCAAAAACCTCCCGAACAAATCAAAATCAACGTCTCACTTTCAAGCAAATATCTTCGGCTTCATCTTCGTTCGTTCACCACCCTAAATCCTCCCTAAACAGTGCAGAATCGCGCGAGGCCGCCGAGAATTCGGCCGACGTTCGCTCGCGTTTCGAGCAGAGATGGTTCGCAAACCGGCTCGAGATCGTCGAATCAAGCAAACTCTCCTCGGCGAAACTCGGTCCGCCCGAGCCTCGAGGAAGCTGAAAATCTCGAAGAAAATCGTTTCCGTATTTGAACCGCCCAGCGACGACGACGATGAAGACGCGTGCTAGGAAGAAAGCTCATCATCGGACGACCTTCCACGACTGGAACACGTCGATCACGTAGACGTCGTGGTTCTTGTGCTTCACCCTGATGTGCTTCCTAATGTCCGTCTTCACCTTGCACATGTAATCGCAATAAGGGCACTTGAATCGGGGCTTCTGGCCGCACTGGTAGCGCAGGTGGCTGGTCAGGTTCCTCTTCCAAGCGAACACGCTGCGGCAGTTCGGGTTCGGGCAGGCGTACGTGCTCGGTTTCATGAACCAGTTGGTCCGACGGTGGCCCAGCCTCTGCAGGGACCCTTTGTACCCTGCAAAAGAACGGGTCGTTCGCGATCAGTCGTCCTCCAGGCAGCTGTGCTCGCATCATCGCGCGCGCAGAATTCGCGATCTCGCTCGCGTCGATCGACGCCGATCATATTTCGCGAAATATATATTTTAATAGGAAGGTTCGAATATTTTCTTCCAAAATCGGCGTCGATGTTAATAGTATAATAATAGTGCAATATTTTATAGAATATATTTTATGATAATATAATATTAATATCATGTCAATATAATAACATTATTATTATTTTATAATAATATAATATTAATATAATATTAACCCTTTGAACTCGAGCGATGACTCTGAGGCACCATTAAAATTGTTACATCATATTTCAAGATAATTTTTATATTATAAAAGTTTTGATGTAAAAAATTGCAATTGTAAAATGCACTTTGTCATGAAAAATGGAAGTACCATAAGTGAGAAAAATTNTCCCAAATCGTCCACTTCTGTCCCTCCAAGCCGAGGAATAATTATAGAAAATTCAATTCTTCTCTAGACAACCTACACATGGATCCACAATTTTCCATATCAAACAACCTCACCCCAAAAACCTCCCGAACAAATCAAAATCAACGTCTCACTTTCAAGCAAATATCTTCGGCTTCATCTTCGTTCGTTCACCACCCTAAATCCTCCCTAAACAGTGCAGAATCGCGCGAGGCCGCCGAGAATTCGGCCGACGTTCGCTCGCGTTTCGAGCAGAGATGGTTCGCAAACCGGCTCGAGATCGTCGAATCAAGCAAACTCTCCTCGGCGAAACTCGGTCCGCCCGAGCCTCGAGGAAGCTGAAAATCTCGAAGAAAATCGTTTCCGTATTTGAACCGCCCAGCGACGACGACGATGAAGACGCGTGCTAGGAAGAAAGCTCATCATCGGACGACCTTCCACGACTGGAACACGTCGATCACGTAGACGTCGTGGTTCTTGTGCTTCACCCTGATGTGCTTCCTAATGTCCGTCTTCACCTTGCACATGTAATCGCAATAAGGGCACTTGAATCGGGGCTTCTGGCCGCACTGGTAGCGCAGGTGGCTGGTCAGGTTCCTCTTCCAAGCGAACACGCTGCGGCAGTTCGGGTTCGGGCAGGCGTACGTGCTCGGTTTCATGAACCAGTTGGTCCGACGGTGGCCCAGCCTCTGCAGGGACCCTTTGTACCCTGCAAAAGAACGGGTCGTTCGCGATCAGTCGTCCTCCAGGCAGCTGTGCTCGCATCATCGCGCGCGCAGAATTCGCGATCTCGCTCGCGTCGATCGACGCCGATCATATTTCGCGAAATATATATTTTAATAGGAAGGTTCGAATATTTTCTTCCAAAATCGGCGTCGATGTTAATAGTATAATAATAGTGCAATATTTTATAGAATATATTTTATGATAATATAATATTAATATCATGTCAATATAATAACATTATTATTATTTTATAATAATATAATATTAATATAATATTAACCCTTTGAACTCGAGCGATGACTCTGAGGCACCATTAAAATTGTTACATCATATTTCAAGATAATTTTTATATTATAAAAGTTTTGATGTAAAAAATTGCAATTGTAAAATGCACTTTGTCATGAAAAATGGAAGTACCATAAGTGAGAAAAATTAATTTAGATTTACAGTTGAAATGGCTTCGAGTGCAAAGGGTTAATATAATAATATTATTAATATAATATTAATATATTAATAATATCATTATAATATTAATATATTAATAATATCATTATATAATATTAATATTATAATAATATCAATATAATATTAATATAATGTCAATATAATAATAATATCAACATAATATTAACATAACGTCAACATAACAATAACATTAATATAATATTATATAAAATATATTTTACAAAACACATTTCAAAATAACATTAAAACATAATTTTTCCATAAATCGGCGTCGATCGACGCTCGTTTTTCTCAGGCCGTTCGATCGATAGATCCTTCGATCCATCGATCCTTGAATCGACGAGGACACACACACACATACACATACACACATACAACACACGGCAATAGATTGAATCGTCGGACGCTTAACGTGTTCGAGAGAAAATGTCATCTTTATTCCGGGTTTAAAAAATACAAGTGATCCGGCGGCGAAGTTGATCAGGATAGGAAGAGATCGACGACGTAGAGAGCGAAGCCCGGATGCTTCCTGATGATATGCTTGTTCACGTCCCCCTTTACCTTGCACCGATACTCGCAGTACGGGCACTTGAACCGCGGCTGGAGTCCGCACTCGTATCTGAGGTGCCTGTTCAGGTTCCCCTTCCAACTGAACGACTTGGCGCAATTCGGGTTCGGGCAGACGTACACGTTCTCGTGCGGCCGTCTCGCCGGCATCCCGATCTTGCTAAACGGCCACAGCTTCTGGAAGGAGCCTGGAACAGAACCAACAGAGACCAGGTTTTCTCGTGGCGATCGATCGGTCGCGCCGCATCCGCCATTTTCTTTTCACGCGATATAATCGTGTCCGCGGTTCGGCCGGCCGGTGTGGATGCGCGCGCCGAAAGTTAACGCGCGAGAAACCACCCCGCGACTGACTCGTGGCGGCCTCGTTCGAACGTTCCTCGTACTTTATTTTTTGATCCTTTCGTTACACAGCCGCGGAAGTGAAATCCGCGCGGATAACAACGCGCTTAGCCTAGTTTGCCACCGTTTCGCGGTGAATAAGAGGGAAAACGTGTCTAGCAGGGATTTTTTGTCGAAAGGTTTCACAGGCACGTGTGTGGAATTGTTGTGTTCTGCGGGGGTTGTTTCAGGCTCGCGGTGCGAGGCGAACGGCATTGGTGATTTGTCGTTAGGAGACGATTTTAGAAAAGAGACGAGAGCGCGGCGATTATGAACGTTGACGACGCTTTTTTTTAAAAGGGACATGGTGATTTCTTGAATAATTGGAGCTCTCAGATTGCGCGCAAAATTAAGGCAATTTGGGGAGAGGAGATGCGATTTTTATAGTTACCGATCACCGAGATTTGATTTATTGTTTACTGATTGTCAAGAATGATCGTAAATTATATAATAATTAATAGAAATATTAATATTTATAATCACTCAATATTATAAGTATTAATATTTGTAATTATTAAATACTATAATTATTAATAATTATAACTATTGAGTACTATAATTATTAATATTTATAGTAATTAAATACTATAATTACTAAATATTATAATTATTAATATTATCGATATTAATACAATCAATACAAAATTACATACAATTACATAATCGGTACCTGTAAAAACGAGACGCAACGCTCGATTATAATCGCATCTCTCCGCGCAGTCTGATCGCGAATTAGGCTAAAAATATCCGCGCATCGGACACCAATAAGGCGGCCATATTGTAATTCCGCGGATTTAATCTCACCTCGTTATCATCTCGCTTCCTTATAATTATTAAACACTATAATCATTAATATTTACAATTATCAATATTAGTAATTATCGAGTAATAATTCCACGAAACTAGAAAGCGCGCGCGCGAGCGCGACAGCCTGAAACCACCCTTCGCGTTCAACCCTCCGCGCGCTCGTAAAAAAATCAATCACAAATATCGTCTGGTCGAAGCACCCGCTTCCCGTCTCGCAAATTCCCGATCGCAGTCGCAGACGACGAGAAGTCGAGCCGCTCCTGTTCCCGCTTCAGAAAAACGCGCGGAGGGTTGCGATAACAACGACAAGACAACGCATCAAACGACGAAGAAGAATAAACATCTGTAAAAGTTCGCCCGCGACGAACGTACTCGTCTCGCCCGCCCTCCAGGATTAGCCGACAGATTAGCCTAACTGTTGTAAACGTAGATATTGCAGTCTTTGTGGACCCGTTTGATGTGCCTGATCACGTTCGCCTTCCATTTGCCACGGTAGTCGCAGTAAGGGCAATTGAACTTCGGTTCTTTGCCGCACTCGTTCCTCAGGTGCCTCTTCAGGGTGCACTTCCAGACGAACACGCTCGGACAGTTCGGGCACGGGAACTTCTTGTGCGAGATGTCGACTAACCGGCGGACACGCAGCTTCTTGTAACGGGCGCTGGTGATGTACAACGGATCTGGAAGCAGAACGAAGACCGTCGGTATATTACACGGTGCGTCTGTGGCCCCGTCGCCGCGGCGTCGCCGACGACACGGAATTAACACCGGCGTGTGAAACTCTGTCGTCCGCTGTTCGGCCCGCGGGGAAACCGAGCGGGAAATATCACCTCGTCCCTAAAATAACCGGTCGAAAGGGCGGTCCCTTCCGAAAGGATCACGTAATCGGCGGCACAGAGCGACGTAGAGGTGGGAGAAAAGTGTCGAGAGGCACCCTTATCGTCGCGCGATTAATTTCGCCCTCGGGGGAAAGAACTCCGCGCCTATGGGGGATGCGAGTTTGCGGCGCCGTGAGGCGTCGGGACCCAACAAGAAGCGTGACACGGTGCGATTATGCGAGGGTTAAGCGGTTCGTGAGACCTCCGGCCGGGCTGCAGCGTGAGTTCCCGTGAGCCACCGGTGCGTACGCGCGTCCCAGAGAGGGTTGTGTTAGTGAATGCGAGGACAAGGCACCCCTCCGGAGTGTTCCGGCTGGTTCGGCCGTGGCGAAGACAATTAGTCGCTGGTATGGAACAGTTTCTAACATCGTTTATTGCACATTCAGATCGTATAATGAGGAAGGAGGCCGCGGCGGTACATTGGCGGAACGTCGCGCGTTAAGACGCCCCTGAGAGAGTGACCCGGCCATCGGACAACGGGGCCTCCGAGGCGGCTGAGACCGTGGATAGGATGATGATATCGGTTCGACGGAAAGCGGATCAACGTACAACGTGTTAGCGACGAGCACACACACACAACAACACCGTGGGAGAGAAGAGTGCGGAGGGGGAGAACGCGGGGACCGGCTTCGGCACGGGCCGCGTGGATCGTCATTGACCGTGGATCGTTCGCCGCCGCTGCTGGATCATTGTCTCGGAGGTGCGGGCGCCGAGCGAGACGAGCTGAAATAGAGGACACGCTGGGGACCGTCCCGAGGACTTCACTTCGGCTTGTTCACGCAGTGCCTGACGACGTCCATGGCGAACACCTCGCGCTTCTTGTGCGTCGTACGGACGTGTCTGTAGACGTTGCTGCGGAGCTTGCACCGGTACCAGCAGTAAGGACACTTGAACCGAGGATTCTGGCCGCAGGCGTACAACAGGTGTCTGCTCAGGCTGTTCTTCCGCTTGAAGGTGCGGTCGCAGGTCGGGCAAGGGTGGCTACCGACGCTGAACGGCCGGGCTTGGTGCAGCAGCTCGCCGACCGGGTTCCCTGGAATAGACAGAACAGAATGTCCATGGTTAGTAGGGCCTTCGAACGATCGTCTCTCTGAGGCGACGGGAAACGAGGAGAGGACGTGCGACCCTCCCGAGTTTCGATTCGGACCTGAAGCACCTGACATTCCTGCGAACCTGTGACATCCAGCTTGAGCCGCGGCGGAGATGACACGGGTACGCGTACCGCGAGGATCGAGAACGATTTCGATGCTCGATCGAGAGCGCCGAGGACTGGTGTTTCTTATCTAATTCGAGATGGGATTGATTGGGGATAAGGATCGTCGGTTTGGGAAGAGAAGTTTAATGATTGTCAACGAGTCGAGGTGCAAGGTTGTGTCGAGGATATGCCAAGGTTATGTCAACGTTATAACCTTCTTTTTCTTTGGGAAAGATTAGCTTTTTTCAAGGTGCTAAATCCCAAAGAAAGTTTTAAATTCCCGGGAAGATCTGAATCCCGAGGAAAGTTCTAAATCCCCAAACAGTTCTAAATCTCGAAAAAGTACTAAATGCCAAGGAAATTGTAAATCCCTAAGAAAGTTCTGGATCCCCCAAAAGTTCTAAATCCCAAGGAAAGTTCTAAATCCGAAAGAAAACTTCTAAATCCCTAAGAAAGTTCTAAATCCCAAAGAATATCCTAAATCCCGAAGAACGTTCTAAATCCCGAAGAAAGTTCTAAATCCCAACGAAAGTTCTAAATCCCAAGGAAAGTTCTAAATCCCAAAGAAAGTTCTAAACCTCTAAAAACCTTAACATAACCTTGATTATATCATGGTTATATTATAATATAATATTATAAATATATATAAAAATATAATCTTCATATAACCTTGATATAACCTTCATATAACCTTCATATAACATTGTCATAACCTCGGTATAACCTTCTGTCCCATTTATATCGCATCACCGATGCATCGATCTTTCGTGGATCGAAACTCGCGTCGACAACAATGAAACCGCTTCTTTGGGAGAGGGGGGGGGGCGGTAAGTTGTAATCGAACGAAGAAGGCTGCAGTAATCAGGGGGGCGTGAGAACTTCTTGTAGGACGACAGGAAGCCGACCGTGTCTCCGTCGAGGTAAAATTCGACGCCTGGAAAAGAAGAAAAAAACACTTTGGTGAAACCGTGATAGATCTCGCTTCGATCCTCTGGTCCCTCGTCTGCCCAAAACCGACGACACATGTCGGCTCCGCTCGTGGGCGCGCGTCCAAAATCGCGTCCACTGGATAACAAACGCCGCGTGGAAACGACAAAAGATACGCGGCGATACGTTTTCGCCTATTAATACCGAACGAAAAAAAGAAAACGGATTTTCAAATGAAATTGATCTCGAAAGATCTCGATTCAGAATCGACGTGTTTCGTATTCGCTGCGAAATTAATCCGCGGATCGGACGTCTGCACGTTGAAACAGAATCGAGTCTTGACATAACCTCGACGAAAATTGCTTTAGTTCATTTCACGAGCATAATTGACTTTACAATTCATCGAATAAAAAATATAATATAATATATAATAATATATATTATATAATATTATATTTATTAAAATTATATAATATATTATATAATTTTTTAAAATTATATAATATATAATATAATATATAATAATATTAAATTGTCTTATTTCCTTTATTTCCGAATGAACAATTTAATATGCCCGATTCAACGGACGCGAAGTTAATTGCGCCCGCGAGTGAACCGAGGGCACAGTATCTGGTCGGCCCGCAGAGTGACCGGCTCCGCCGTTCCTCCATTTTCCTTAATTTCGCATCGAGAAACAAAAGAAACGAAACGCGCCGATGGAATTTCGTGGAATGACGACAAAGACGAGGGTGTACTTTCTCTGGCTTTTTATTAAAATCTCGTTGAAGTACAGAGGGGCGGGGAGGGGGGAGCGGGGGTGGGCCGTCAGTTGTTGCCGGTGTCGATGCAACAAACGTCGCAGCCCTTGTGTTTCCGGCGCACGTGCCTGTAAACGTCGGACGTGTAACGCGAGCAGTACTCGCAAACCGGGCATTTGAAGCGGCGATTGTGCCGGCACTCGTACCGTAGGTGCTTGATCAGGGAACCGCAATGAGTGAAAGAGCTTCCGCAGGAGTTCGTGCAGCTGAAGTTCCCTCTGTTCGAAGTCGCTTCAGTCCACAGCTGAATTCTCCTAGAGTCGCGCGCACTTTGCGACGTTTCGACGCCTGCAAAAGAAGATCAACGGTCTGAACAGGGGCGTATCATCTGCGGGCGCTGATCATATTCGCAACACTTTCTCTTTCTAACAAGATGGGGGTGGGGTGGGGGTGGGACGGACTAAAAACTGGGACACACGATCAGCTTCGGGCGAGACGGACAGTCTGACAGAACACAGTAACAGCAAAACTGATCTCTTTATTAACAGTCTTCCGGGACGAGTACAATCCGGGGGGTGGAGGAGGGGGACGGCGACGGCGGATTGCCGATCGTCTCGCGACAAAATTAATCGGTCGCTCGGGAAACAATAAATTACGTGGAACCGCTAAAAACAAGTCGCAATGCTTCGAGGCTACGGGACCGCGATCTCTCTCTCCCCCCCTCCAGGTGTACAAGGTTCGTTCCGTGGAGGGGAGAAGTTTTCTCTTGCGCGTACAGTCGGACACTAAAGCTCTCGTACACCTTTTAAAACGTGATAACTGTTTTAAAAGTCAACTGAATGACGAGAATTTTTTTTTGGTGATGGAGGGACTAGTCTAGTAGACGTCCAGTAGTCTTCCTTTTTTAATTTTGCTGTTACAATAATTTCTCCCTAATTCGCGCTCTCAGATTGCGCATGGAAATGGAGACTCGGGAAGAGGAGATACGATTGTTCGAGCCTTCCGAGAATTACAGAGAAATTACTGTGCGTCCAATGACAAAAGAATAAAAATCCCTCGTTTTTTAACTCTTTTTTTTATCTAAGCTTGAACACTTTTAAAACGTAGATCTCGGTGACTTGTATGCAAAAAGATATGTTGCAACAAATCAAAGATCGCAGTTTTGTCACGATTTTGACCATAAAGCCACCATAGAGGCGTCTTTCAACGCCTGCGACTCGACTCTGGGTTATTCATTATTTATAACAAGGCGCCGCGAAAATGTCTCGCAGTATGAAAATGCAAGGTCCCGAGATCATTCTAAGCAACTTTTTCCTCAGCGAAAATGCAATCCTAGGCTTCGTTCGCGAGTTATCAGCGAAAAACGTGGACCAATCGAAGAGCGATCGCGGCCGGCGCCCCGCCCTCGCGACCAATGCCGCGTCGCGCCAGCCGTCTGACGCAGCGGCGAGGGCGTGACAGCCGTGCTCATCGTTTTTCGCTAATAACTCGTGAACGGTGCCTCGTAGAAAATTTTTGTAAAGGACAAAGTTGCTTCAAATCACCTCAGGAACCCAAGGTCAATTTCAGGATTACAAGACAATTTTAGTACACCTTGTGTATAGATAAAAAAAGTTAAAAAACGATTGTTTCTAATTCTTCCATTCATTCCAAGCAGCAGCAAAATTAAAAAGAAAAAGCTTTCAGCCATCGTCTAACAATCTTCGTCACCTGAAAATAAAGTCAAGTAATTTAGCTCGGTTTTCAAATAATTATCGCGTTTTAAACGTTCTAAGTGTTCGAATACTTTCATGAGTCACTGTACAGCTCGATAATGTTCGCTCGCGTCGAACAGAGAGAGAATCGCGTGACCGGGGTTTTTTATTCAGTCCTTCCGCGATCACGATTAGGTGTGCTCCTCCCGAGTAGCTTTCAGGATGTCGATCGCGTACACCTCGCAGTCCTTGTGCCGTCTCCGGACGTGCTCGTAGACGTTGGCCGACTTCTTGCAACGGTACTCGCAGTGCGGGCACTTGAACCGTGGCTCCTGGCCGCACTCGTAGGTCAGGTGCCGGTTCAGCGAGTACTTCTGGCTGTAAGCACAGGTGCAATTCGGACACGGGAACTTCTTCTGCCTAAAGCTACTCTCTAAGCTACGGAGCGGTGACTGGGGCCAAAGTTTCCCGATCGTTTGGACGTGGCTGCCTCCGATACCGATGTTGAACCCGAACACGGCGAACGGGACCGTATCTGGAACGAAACGGGGTCTGGCTGATTGTCGGGTTTTTTACATTTGGCTGGCGCGCTTCACAACGATCTACGTGTGGCCGAACCGAGAGTCCCAACTGATCCCCCGGACAACACAACGACGAATCATCACTAAATTCGGCTTCGAACGGACAAGCGACGATTGATCACGTGGGGATAACAATACGTTCGGGGGGGAGGGGGGTGGTAACTCCCGTCGGAGATGCGTGTTCGTTGTCGAATTGATCGACGACGGAATCGAAAAGACTCGCAATGTTTTTTATTCAAGACACGTTTAATAACAAAATATCATCTGGATTACATATCCGGTATATAAATTAATCGTCCTAGAACAAACTCGTATATTCGTTAGACGCAGCCGATAAACGTTGTTGTTGCGTATTCGGCGATTACAGTTCGCCGAACGACGGCGCCGCGAATGGTGCACCGTGCGAGGAACAGAGATGCATATGTCCGTCGTCGACCCTTTGCGCTCGAGACACCGTGAAAATTAACTTAAAAAAGAAACTGTTGCACGAGTCACACGGGACCAAGTTGCACATAGATAAAATCTATACGCTCTATCGAATAAAATGGGGACACCATGAGCGAGACAAATTCATTCGGATGCACAGTTAAATTGGCTTCGAGTGCAAAGGGTTAACTCACCGTTGCGAGTCAACATGAATTAGTGTTGCATTGCACTCATAGCGAGAGGAAGACGAGCAACAGGAAGAGGAGCTTTGGCCGATTGTCGTTGGGCTGCGGATCTTCGTACGAGATACAAAATTAGCTTTTATTTAACCCTTTCATTTAACCCTTTGCCCTGCGATTTGGGTTTCGAGAGTTATTAGCTACTAATAAAACAATTAAATGACGGAAAACACGTATACATAGGCTCTTATTTTTGGCTCGATTTTTTGACCACGTCTCTCAGACGTGATAACCATTTCTGGCTCGACCTTTTGTCCACGTTTTTGAAACGTGATAACCATTTCGCTCGATTCTTTGACCACGTCTCTTAGACGTGATAATCGTATCTGACCCGATACATCTACCACGTCTCTCAGACGCGACAATCAATTCCAACCCGATTTCTCGACGCGATAATCACTTCTGACCCGATATCTTCACCACGTCTCCCATACGTGACAACCATATCGCGAACGGTGCAACAACGATCTCAAATCCCTCAAATATCATCACAATTTCGCATCGAACCCTCGCGAATCCTCGAAATCCGCAGTCCAGCGATTCATTCGGTCCAAACGAAGTTATCGCATCGTTTCGCTCTACGAAGACGGCATCATCGCTGTTCCCCTCGTGTCCAAAATGCCCGCCTACGAGGCCCACTGCTGCTGGCACTCCTGCTCGCCCCTCACGTCCAGCACGAACACCCTCTGGCCAGGGTGCATCCTGCGCACGTGCGACCGCACGTTCGACGAGTGCCTCGTCCGATACGAGCAGTAAGGACAGTTGAACCTGGGCAGCTGTCCGCACTGGAACTTCAGATGATTGTACAAATTGTTCCTACGCGTGAAAACGTTACCGCACTTGTGACAAGGATAACTCCTCCTCAGCTCGTTGTTCCGTGCGTGATCGTAGTCGCAACGTTGGCCGCCGCCGTAACACGGTGTCGCGTCCATCGCCGCCGTTGACCGGTGCTGCGCACCTGCGAACAAAAAGGTCGACAGAATAATTCTCGCTGCCGATGCACGGCGAACCTCTTTAGGGCGGCCCGACGACAACTTACGCGGCCGGCGACCGCGGTGTACGATCGTGCAGCTTTCCGCCGGCGGATTCGTAATCGGAGTGGAGGGGGAATCGGGCAGCGTGTCCGGCCCGTGGAACAACAACGGCGGCGGGAGAGAGGTGGGCTGACAAACGGGGAGAAAGCAAGATGACGTGTGATTTACTTTTCAGTGAGGATAAGTAAACGTTTCTTTTCGTTCTTACAGTCTATAAGAAGCGCCGTCTGGCGGCTGCGTGATTTTGCGTACAGTTTAGTCCATAAACACTAAAGAGACGTGTGGCGCCAGGATGCAGAAGGATGCGCGCGCGTCGGGGACCATCGCGAGAAATCGGCCGACTCGGTCGGTCGCGTCGAGCTCGATTCCAGCGAGAGTGGGGGGACGCTCGCTCGAGCGTCGTCGGCGGCGTCCGCGAGAGTGGGGGAACGCGCTCGCTCGGGCGTCTTCGGCAGCCTCCGCGAAAGTGGGCGGACGCTCGCTCGCGCGTCCCCGCCCACGAGTCCGTCCGTCCGTCAATCGATCTTCGCGCCGCGGCGGCTCGCGGGGCGCGCGTGCGCGGCTCGGTTTAGGAGGTCTGCGGTATCTCCGCCTTGCTCACGTCCACCACGTAAACCGTGTTCCCAGGATGGATCCTGCGAACGTGGGCGCGCACGTTCGACGGATGCCTCGTCCTGTACACGCAGTAGGGACAATTGAACCGCGGCGACTGGCCGCACTCGAACTTCAAATGATACTGGAGATTGTATTTCCGGCTAAACACGCTGCGACAGTTCCCGCAGGGAAATCTCTGCGGCTGCTGGTGGTGGTGGTCCTTCGTCGCCGGGACGGACCGCCGCTGCGGATATTGCACCCAATACGTGTTCTTCATCCTGTGGGGCACCACTAGGTACGACGGCTCTGAAAAAACAGAAGTCGGGCCGTTCAATCGTTTGGACGTGTACGGGGACACACGTTTACGGTGATGCGAGGAGAACGGGCCCGGATGCTTGCCGCGGGACCCGTGCGAGATACGGGCGGCGCGATGGTATATCTCCGGTTCGATCGAAGAGAGATCGTTCGGGTGACGCGTGTGTCTGGAAACTCGAAGGGAACTCCCAGGCAAAAGGGCGGCTTCGTTGGTGTATCGTTGCTTCGTGCGAACTTTTAAACGTGTTTTTAAGGCGACGCCAAGAAGGAAAATCAGATTCGCTGGTACGGCGATTTCTCCTTCATTCGAGCTCAAATGTGGAGTAGTTTGGAAGAGAAGGCGCGATTGTTCGAGCCTCGCGGAGCGTTTTTTATAACTTACTGATTGTCAACGATTGTAAAGATCGTAAATTATATAATAATTAATTTAATTATTGATATTTATGATTAGTAAAATATTTATATGATAATTAAATATTAATATTATGTTGTATTATTAATATTATTATATAAATTATATAATATATATATATTATATAGTATATATTTTATTATTATTATTACTATATTATATAATATTATTAACATTACATTATAATTACATATATAATAATTAAATACTAATATAATATATTGTAGTTATATATATATTATAATTAAATATTAACACTAGATTTACAGAAATCATTCAAAAACTAATATAAAACAGCTGTTTTTTTATGCTCCGTAAATCTAGTGTTAATATAATATATTACAATTATATATATATATATATTTTTATAATTAAATATTAATATAATTAATATCAAATTATATATAATTATATAATCGATAACCATTAAAGCGAGACGCAAAGCTCGAATGATCATTTAATTGCTACATATTTAATTACTCTGCAAATATTTTTATTAATTATAAATATTAATAACTGTACCAATTATCATATAATTTACGATTTTTATCATTATCGACAATCGTTAAGCTATAAAAACGAACCGCTCGAATAATCCTGTCCTCCTCTTCCTAAATTATTCAATATTTTCTGCGCACCTTGAGCGCGAATTAGGTAGAAATCACCGTACAACCTCGTAAAAAACGAATCCAACGGAAAAAATATGCATTCTCACATTGCGCCGTCTTCCTGTCTGGGAGCGTACGCACAATCATCGCGTCTCCGATGATTCTCGACCGTTCGCGGAACGACGTCGATCGCAGAAAACGAGTCCGCGATCTCGCAACAATTCTGTGAACAACAACAAAAAATCACAATTCGACAAGCTTGCAATCGGGCTGTTCTCTCTCGCGCGGGACGTAAACTCTCTCTCTCCCTCTCTCTTTAGGATCACCGGTATAGACAAACCTGCACAGTGCACACAATTCTTCCCCCTATGCATGCAAATCACGCGGCAGCTAACATAGGCATAAATATAGGAGAGAGACGTGGAAACGAAAAACGAAGGAGAGGAGTCGATGATGGGGGAGGGGGAGGGGGGAAAGGACGCGAACCTTTCGCCAAAGAAAGCCGACGTCCCGTACGGCGAGCTCGCTTCGAAGCGAGCGTCGGCTCGGAGCCTCGGTTTCTCTGACTGGAAGAGGTGGGTGGGGGCGCTGGACAAGTGTCGGGAGCATGCACGCGGGACAATAGTAGAAACGAGAAATTCACAGGAAGAGCTTTTTCGTTTTATTCACGGTTCGTGTTCTCTGTATTTCACGCCGCATAATACATCGTCTCTCTCTCTCTCTCTCTCTCCTTCTTTCTCTCGCCTCCTCTCTCTGTCGTTACGACTGGGCGACGGTCATCAGATCGATGACGTAGACCTCTTTATCGGGATGCTTCCTGCGCACGTGGGCCCTAACGTTCGACGTGTGCTTCGTCCTGTAAGGGCAATACGGACAGTTGAATCGCGGCGACTGTCCGCAAGCGTACTTCAAATGGTGCTGGAGATTGTAGCGCCAGTTGAACGATCTGCCGCACTTCGGGCAGATGTGCTGGAGGGGGGGCCGCGGCCGGGCCGGGTTACGGACCGCCGCGCCACGGCTCCATCCGTAACCGTCGACGTAATTCGGTAGCTTCTCTGGAAAATGGAGACGAGCTTACGGTTAATTCCCATGGATCCTGTTTGTCGTTCCGATTATCGGACACCGGTTAATGCTTTCGTTAGAGAATAATATCGGCCGAGCGTGTATGTGTTAGATTTCACTTTTCGCTGCGATGGGGGACGGGTTTTTTGCGTTTATTAGAGAGAAGTCGGTCGACGGTGACGACGCGTCGTGGTCGCGTACAGTTTGCTGCTGTATGTTTATTACGAGAGTTCTCCGTTACAAACACGTTCGCTCGCATCTACCGGTCAAAGATGATCTCGTCGAAACGGCGGCATTATTCGTCTCGCTTTGCGAAGACAGAAAAGGGGGAGTAACTTGTGGGCAGCGCGCTAAAACGCCCGAACCGGGCGGCTCGGAACCGGTCGGGAAGAGTCGTGTGGCATCGGGCCGATACATTTCGCCATTCGTGGGAGCCCGAGGCGCTTCGGGACTGGATTGTGCCGCTTGGCCATGCCGCGCGGCACACCAACGCAACGATTGCTTGGCTTTCGCCTTCGCTCGGTGCCTTGGCTTCTGCCGCGCGGCATGCCAATGCAGCGATCGCTTGGCTTTCGCCTTCGCTCGGTGCCTTGGCTTCTGCCGCGCGGCCTTGCCGCTTGGCTTTGCCATTTGGCTTTGCCGCGCGGCATGCCACGCAGCGCCCGCTTGGCTTCGATCGGTGCCGAACGGCTCGACAGGCCGATCGTCGCGATTTTTAATTTGTTGCGACTCGCAACAACGTTAACTATTTTTCAACGTAGTGTACTAATTACAAAGATCTACGAAAGACGTTTTTTTAAATGTTCGTTGCAGGCAACGATAAAAACGGTTAAACAGCGAGAGATTTTTATTGTGTTTTGTTATTCCAAGTAATGGCAAAATTTGAAAAAAAAGAAGCGTTCCTGGAGACTAATCCCTCGATCGTTTAAAAAGAATTCGAGTCGTTTGGTTCACTTTTAAAATAGTTATTGTATTATTTGAGAAGATGTACGAACACTTTTGTGGACCACTGTATCTGGAAATTAGGTCTTGACACATGGAAACGGTATGTGTTACATGATACACCGTCGAGGAACTTAACGCTAAACTTGTTTTTATTCGTCTACCTTCTGCGGCAGTGTTTTCGCGGAAACCTGGTTAAAGACAGTCGACGAATTAAACGTCGAAAAAATGGAAATTCGATAAAGTCTCTCTAATTGACGCTCGGATCGCGCACAAAAGGGGACATTTCGGGGAGCGGAGATACGATTATCCGAGCCTCGCGGCTCGTTTTTATTCTTACCGATTATATAATTATATATAATTCTATATTAATTATATTAATATTAATGATATTAATGATTATAATATGTAATAAGTATAATATTTAATAATTATATATTAATTATCGTATCATTTACGATTTTTATTATTGTTGTCAATCTCCTATTCCCAAACCGTCCATTTTTGTGTAAAATCGGAGCGTCAATTAGGGAGAACTCATAGTACAGTAAATTCTCTTTAATTAACGCTCTGATTGCGCACAAAAATGAACAATTATTTATGAACGATCATTCGAGCCTTGCACCTTGTTTTTAAAATTATTGACAACGGGAAGCTATAAAAACGTGATCAATCCGCAGCGTCAATTAGAGAGAAATTACTATACACTGAATTCTCCCTAATTGACGCTCAGGTTGCTAAAAAAAAAAAGAAATGGACAATTCGGGAAGCAGAGATACGATTATTCCAGTCCTGCACCTTGTTTTTATAATTATTGACGATAGCAAGCTATAAAAATATGTACAATCACAGCGTCGATTCGAGAAAAAATTACTATACAGTAAAATTCTCCCTAATCGACGCTCCGACATTTTTATAATTTCCCACTGTCAACAATTACAAAAACTCGCCGCAAGCCTAATCGCATCCCCCCTTCCCAAACAGTTCATTTACGTCTGCGATCTGAGCGCTAATTAGGCAAAATTCACTGTACCTAATCATCTAATCATTAGACATTTCGCATGGGACTAGAGTTCGTTAATAAATGCTACCAAGACTAGTAGGTATAGCAATACCTCATTGCACGATATCGATCGGCGAACGTTCGTTAACCCTAGATTTACGGTCGTTAATCACGTCAAAATAACGGGTTATTAATATAATTTTTTTAATTTACGATCATTCGTATCATTACGAATTATTTATTCAATTCATACTCACGGCAAATGTTACAACAACACTCGCGAAAAATCCGACTAAATACCTTATCGTTACTTGGAACAAACAACCACGAAACAGCGGTGTTTCTTCGTGCCCCGTAAATCCAGCGTTAAACGTTGCGTCGCGTCGCGAAACGATTTACAACAATTATTCTTCCTTCTTCGCGCGCTCGGCTCCGAGACAAAAATATGGCACTTTTCAAGACGACGGCTCCAAGCAGCTCGCCGGCAGCTCTTCCGGATTGGCCAGCGCGAAATCCTTGCCCTGATTGTCGTCCATCACGTCGATGGCGTACACGCTGCTGCCCGGATGCCGCCTGCGCACGTGCGCCCTCACGTTCGACACGTGTCTGGTCCGGTGCGGGCAGTAGGGGCACCTGAACCGCGGCAACTGGCCGCACTCGAACTTCGCGTGGTAGTAGAGGTTGTTCTTGTGGCTGAACACGCTCGGGCAGGAGGGGCAGGGGAACTTCTGTCGCTCGGCGTTCCCGGCGGGCGGCGCTCGCCGCGCGCCCCGCGTCTGCTTGCCCGCGACGGCCGCGCAGTAGATCAACTCGCCGGACCGTAGGAACTCTGGAACAGAAACGAGAGGAACGTTTCGTCAACACGGCGGGCCGGCAGACAGTGTCGTCGTCGTCGTCGTCGTTTCGACGTCGATCGATTCTATACTCTTTCGCTTTCGCTGCCACGAAATTGATTTCGTGCGTGTGCGCGCGCGTGTGTGTTCCCCGTCGCGTATGCTCTCGGTCCACCTGCTTCCAAGGAGAACGAAACAAAATGGACCCCGCGAGGCGGGAGTGGAGGGGGAAGAGGACTGTATATTCGTCGAATAAAAAGCGTAAACTCGAGGGACGCGTTCATTGAACATGGTTATATTTAGCAGATCCGGCCGTTAAGCGATCGTTAAGTACACAGGAGGGATTTCTTTTCGTTTCTTTTCTTTCTCTCTTCGTACAATCGTCGGACGATGAAACTGTCGGGAAACTGTAACCTTTTTTGTAACGCCTACGAGTCTACGTTCGGACAGCCACGGAGAGAAGTCTGCTGCTGTTGCTGCTGCTGCTAGGAATTAACGCGGCCAGGTGGCGACACTGTCGATCCGCCTGGCGCAGGAACAACGATTAACGGTAAACTGTACAGAGAGAGAGATATCTTCGAGGGACCGTCAACGGTGTTGCACTTTCTCGTTTCCTTCGGTTTATGTTTTTCGCTCTTCGTTTTATTTCTCTTCGTTCTTTTCCGTCTGCTTTTCTTCTCGTTTTCTCTTTTTCTTTTCTTTTCTTTTCTTTCGAGGTAAATCTCGTTCGCGATACACGAGAACGAGGATCGAATGTGATTTCCCTGGGGAACGGAGGCGCTTGTTTACGGCCACTATTGGTCCTCGGATCGCGTTCAAGGCGACTCTCGCTCGTCGCGAACTCATTCCGTCCGTGCTGTTGCGGATCGTACACGACCGCCGTCGGCAGACCTTTGAACGCCTGGAACGAAAGAAAATGCTGTTCAGGTTGCGCGCGGCGTGGCATTAGGCGACGCGCATCGGGGAAGACTGCCCTAATCATAGAACGTTGCAGTTTCGTGCACGGAATATGCGTAATATGTTATATAATGGCTCGACCCGAACCCGAGAATATTTCACGGCCCGACCCGAGCCCGAGAACATCTCCTGGCCCTACCCAAACCCGAGAATATTTCCCGACCCGGACCCGAAAACATTTCTCGGCCCGACCCGAGCCCGAGAACATCTCCCGGCCCTACCCAAACCCGAGAGCATCTCCCAGCCCGACCCGTCCCCTAAATTCGCGTACCCCTAATCAAATTCCATAGAATTCTACGTACGATTGAAGCGGTCTTCCCCCCTGATCGATATCGTTGTCTACCGTTCTTCCTGGCGCCACGAAGGACTCTTCGCTAGACGACAGGCGACGCTGGAAACGCAACGCCTCCGTGTCCCGTCGCGCGTTCCCATCGGGACTCTTCCGGACGTCGTAATCTTCCAGCACGTAGAGGACGATCTTCGCGGTTGTGACGCGTCCGGCGTTCCACCGGCACGGTTTCAAACGTTCTGCATCAGCTGGCAGAGATCGAGGGTGTACACCTCTCTTCCGGGATGACGTTTCCGTACGTGCCGGCGCGTGTTCGATATGTGGCTCGCCCGATAGGTGCAGTAAGGACACTTGAACCGCGGCTCTTGCCCGCACTCGAACTTCTGATGGTAGGTCAGACCGCCCTTACGGCTGAACGAGCTGGTGCAATTCGTGCAAGGGAACTTCCGGCCGATCGTTCTCGTGGTATCTGTGGGGAGCACCATCGGGACGGCCGCCGTCCCGTGATGCAGTACGTAATTCTGGGAGGACACGCCTGCGTAGACGCAGTAATTCAATCCTGCAACATAATCAAACACACGTCAACCATGTTCGGAACGGTCTCGGTATTCCCAGCGTTTTACGTCCCGGTAAACAGACAGGGCGCGCTATAGAGAGAGCGAGAGAGAGAGTGTGGACTATAAGAATTCGAAGCTGGCGTCTAGTAAACCTTTTTTTTGCGGGTCAAACCTTCTTCATGACTGTCGAATCCTATAGGCGGTCCGGCCTCGGCGGGGGAGGAGGCAGAGAGGGGGGCGGGGCGAGCGAGGTGGGGTTTTGCCCGCGCAAAATCATCGTTCGCCGAGCCCCAGATGGATCTATCTGTGTGTCCTCGTGATCTGTGTGCAGGGGGGGATGATGATATCTTCGTTGCGGAGGATGAAAAAAAGGATGTAATTTTGTTGCTTAATTTGTTTGCGTAACGACTGGCTTGCTTGATCGCTTTATTGAACTAATCCAAAAAGTGAAAGACGAGGTCGGAATACTGTTTCCAAGGATCTACGAACGATCTACACTGCGGTCAAAAGGATCGGATACGCGCGGCGCGGCGCGGCGCGACGCGACGATCGATCGGCGTCGCGGGCTGTCGGCGATTTAGAACGCCCTAGTCATCTTCGTGTCTCTGTGATCTTCCACGGACGATCCGTAGCCGGCTTGCGACACGTCCGTCACGCTCACTTTGAACCCGAAGTGTTTCCTGCGCACGTGCGCCCTTATGTTCGACGACTTCTTCGACGTGTAGCTGCAGTAAGGGCAGCCGAACCTAGGCAGCTGGCCGCACTCGAACTTCAGGTGCGAGTACAGATTGTTCTTCCGGTTGAAGCTGCTCGGACACCTCGGACAGAGGAACCTGTCGCCGTTCCGTTCCTGGTGCTCCTGGGCGCGCGATAGCGTCGCGCACGGTATCTTGAAGCCGCCCAGGTGTTGCAGATCTGCAAGAAAATCGTCGTAACTCGTCAGAGCCCTACCACAAATCTGTCGCGACGTTCTCCGGCTAGCCGTGTTTACAGTATTCTCTTAGTGTACGCGGTGGAAACGAGGCGCGGACCTTCTTTTAAGGACGAGCTCGGTCGACCGAGACACGAGCGGAAGGGGTGGGGGAAGCCTGTCGGTTGCCGCGAAACCGAACGCTCGGTCGACCGAGACTGGAGCGGAAGGAGTGGGGGAAGCTTGTCGGTTGCCACGAGACCGAACGAGCTCGCGCGACTGCCTGGAAAAGTGTGTACGGTAATGTCTCCCTTACTGACGCCTAATGTCTCTCTAATTGACGACCACGGAAATGGACGATTTGAGAAGAGGAGATACGATTATTCGAAGCTTGCGACTCGTTTTTATAGTTGTTGACAATCGATAACCATAAAAAAACGAGCAACAAGGCTCGAACAATCGTATCTTCTGTAACAAAATTGTCCGTTTCTGTGGACAATCTAGCGTCAATTCGAGAGACATTACTGTACAGTAATGTCAAGGTTAAATTGAACTGTACAGTAATGTCTCTCTAATTGACACTAATGTCTCCCCAATTGACGTCCACAGAAGTGGACGATTTGGGAAGAGGGGATGCGATTGTTCGCTTTTATAGTTACAAATTGCTCGTATCTCCTTTTCCTAAATCGTCCATTTCGGGGGACAATTTGAGCGTCAGTTAGGGAGACATTACTGTACCGGGTAAAGTACCATGGGAAAAGTTTCCCGCCGGATCCGAGTGAACGTCAGAGTCACACAGCAGCGAGAATACTGTAATTTCTCATCGCATGAAAACATCGAAAGAAACGATGAACATCTCTCTCTCTACGAACGATTTCACGAACGGCTACAAACGAGATTATACAAGGTCGAGAAGGAAACATAAAGGAATTATGATACAATATAATTACAACACGATGCGATATAAGTACAATAAAATATATATGTATATTCACGTCGATTAGGAAGGATTTTACGTTTTATTTCGTCACTGTACACAGGCCCGCTCAGAGATCAACCACCGTTCAACCCCCGTTCAACCCCCTCGGTCAAAGTCCGAATTCCTTCGGACGTCAATTTTCTCTCCGCTTGCGCTATACACACAGGGTGTCCCAAAAATGTCTCGCAATCCGGAAATGGCGGGTTCCTCGGATCATTCGAAGCAACTTCTTCCTTTACATGTACCACGCGGTATACGTTCGTCGTCGACAAGATTAAAACTCCTCTCATCGTTCGAAGCATCAAGTCGAACCACACATCTCGAGTGAAGTAACGTTGCATCGAGTAATAAATAATGTTATATCAAACATAACATTACACCGCGGAAGAAAAGAAACAAACAAAAAGTCACCGCTCTCCTCTCGCGGCTCGACAAAAGTCCAACGGTCACGGGAAACGATGCAACACGTCGTAGGATCCGTCGGGCCATACGCGATCATGCTACAAAATGACACCGGACCTCTCGTAACGGTTTCTTGTTCGCGTAAACGCGAGATCCGACGCCCACAAGCTTCGCGACGCTTCTAGCCGTCGTAGACGCTTTGTTTCGCGTCGGCGAAGAACTCCGACGAGCCCTGCGGATCGGCCTGCTCGACCCTGAAGAGATCGATCGCGTGCACGGGGCACCCCAGATGAATGCAGCGCACGTGGGCCCGCACGTTCGACGTCTTCTTCGACCTGTAGCCGCAGTAAGGGCACTTGAACCTGGGCTCCTGGCCGCACTCGTACTTCATGTGCTTCTTCAGGTTGTCCTTCCGGTTGAACACGCTGCTGCAGCCCGGGCACGGGAACCTCGCGTTATGGTCCGGCTGGTGCGCGGCGACGAGCCGTTCGCCGAGTAAACGGTCGCACAGCGACCGCCGGTCTGCAAGCAGAAGAAACGATTGCAGAACGATTGGCACGTAGGACCGATCTCCTCCTCGCCGCGGTCCGCTCTCGGCTGCCGTCCCAAAAAGAAAGGAGAAATTCGCGGCGCGAATCGCCGAGGCGATTCGATCCTCCTCGCGCGGAGTAACAGCGACAACGGCGCGAGAAGACGAAGAAAAAGAGTGGGGGGACGGATTTATCGAGAGATCCGATTGGACGGTCGCGGTTCGCGTCGTCGACGGTGGCGCCGTCGTAGGGACGACGACGACGATCGTGTTAACGGTATCATCGTGGGCGAGCTCGGCGATCAAAAACGGATTTCCTTATGGGCGTACTATGGCTTTTCTTCACGCCTTAGATCGATGCACCAGACCGCTTCCCCGCGATGCCTCCGGCGCACGTGTTTGTATACGTTCGATATCAATCTCGTGCAATGGTTACAATACGGACACTGGTATCTCGGTGGCTGACCGCACTGGTAGATCATGTGCTCCCTGAGGCCTTTCTTTTTGGTAAACACGCCCGGGCAATTCGGACAGGAGAACATTCGACTGATGTACTGCGCGGCGTTACCCATCATCACGTATCTGGAAACTGAAAGCATAAATTTGTGTTTGTGTTAACTACGCACCCGGCGGCAAGAAATATCACACGAGAACGACACGGCAATTTCTTTCACGTATATTAAATAGAGAGATTACTGCGGCCCGAGAGAAAGTGGTCGCAGATCTTGGTTAGTCGACATTAAGGAGCACAACACGGCGGGTCACGGGGGTGGGGGCATGCAACTTTCCTTCGCAGGTATGTACTACGATCTTTTATTCGATGAGCGCTCGAGAAACGCTTTGGTACATTCGACAGCAATGGCGGCGGTGATGGTGGCGACGGCGGCGACGGCGGACGATGCGTGCGACTCTCCTCCCCCACTAGTGAGTCGCGCTCGAAGCGCGCCCCGCTCGAGGCGGTCGCCGCTCGAAGCGCCCACGCTCGAAACGACGCCGCTCGCGCGCGTCTCAAACCGATCGGACCACCTGAAAACGAAAAATTCTGCGTCAGAAGAGTGCGTCGGGATTTTTCTGCCGTGATCACGGGTCGAGCGATCATTTCTCGGTGAATATTTTTAGAGAGCGATGCTTCCGCGTTGATTCGACTCGTTCTCGGCGATTTTCTTTTCCGCGAGCTTCGTGCTTCGTCTTCTGGACGCAGGACTCATTCGCGTGCTTGTTGCAGAAGCATCTTTCGGCTATGTTTACTGTGGAGATTCAGTGATGATGACGGCTGCATTCGGACGTAAACAGACTTTGTCCGTCCTTGCGACATCATCGCTACGTTTAAGGTTAGACTCCACTGGAACAACTTTTTTGGTGAGTCCTCTGGCGGGTCCCGAACGAAACGCTCTTCTTCATTTTATTTATTATCTTCATTTATTATTATCTTTTTTTATTTATTATCTTCATTTTATTATTATTAAGTTATTTTCTGCACCGGAGATATTTTACGTTCGCGAGGGAACGCGTGATTTAATGATGGCGGATATTTTATTCCGGCGCTTTTGGAGACTTTTACTCTTCATAGGGTGACCCTTTGTTGTCCTATGTGCAGCCTGATTCATGTAATATGGTAAACAAGTGCCCTAATTCGCGCTCAGATTGTGCAGAAAAATGGACAGTTTGGGGAGAGATTATTCGAGCCTCGAGGCTCGTTTTTATAGCTGTCGACGATCGGTGGCTATAAAAATTGTATCTTCTCTTCCCAGATTGTCCTGTTTTGTGTACAATTTTAGCGACAATTAGGGAGAATTTACTGTAGTTATGAATAATGCCACAACTACATGGCACTTAGGAACAATTATAACATTTCTCAAGTGCTCTAAATAGCTCTAAAAGTCGCACATGTAAATATGATTGAAATATACAGGGTGTCTCAGCTAAAAGAGACTACCTAAGTATTTCTGTTATTTCTGGAGTTATCGAGAAACTTTATGAACAAAAGTTCCTCAATTCAAAGAGTTGTATAACACGAACATAACGATTCCTTCGCAGCTGTAGAATTTCCGGAGATTTCAAGACACAACAGAAAACAAATTAGTTTGACAAGTTGTGTCAAACGTACACACGACTGGCCCTTAAAATAATAAATAAATCTCGTTCAATCGATGCCTTTATTCGATGGCTTCTCCTGAATTCTTCAGTGACGTATACACAGTCTGATCGACGAATCGAGATAATAATTAAAAAATTCAAGAAAGTACAAAGAAAAAAATACAAAACCAAGAAAAGTACAAAATCGTGTAAGAAGTAAATTGCTTCCTCGTCGCTTAAAATTGCTCGTCGAATCGACGAAAGCAGCCCTCGATAAAATCGAGAGGCTCGACGAAAATCGTTCGCATCGCGGCGGCGATCTTTCAACGATTTCCCAACGACGCAATTCGTCCATTCTTATTTTTCAACGATCGTTTCATTACAGAGAGGGCGACTTAATTAGACGACGTTGGGCAGACGGTATCGTTCCTCCACGGTGGCCGCGGACGCCGGCAAATGATAAATGTCCTCCACATAGACGGCGCTGCCCTCGTGTTTGCGACGTATGTGCTTCTGTATGTTCGACGTCTTCTTCGAGACGAGGTCGCAGTAGGGGCACTTGAACCGCGGCGGCTGGCCGCACTCGTACCTGAGGTGCGTCAGCAGGCTCCGCTTCTGCCTGAAAACACTGCTGCAGTTGCCGCACGGGTACTTCACGATGCCGCCGCTCGGCGCGAACGTCCTGTAAAATCTCCTGCGATGGCCGGCGGTCAGCAGCAGCCTGGAGGCGGCGAACAGTTTCAAACCTGCAACCATCGAATCGACATTCAGTGGAAATGAACCAGCGAACGGGAACGGAAGCGGAAAAAGGTTCTTTAAATAAAAAAAGGACTCCACTCTCCTTTCTGTCGCAGAAAGGCGCGAAAACCTCGACGAGAACCCGCCGCGAACGGCGGACAAAATGGCGGACTTTCGCTCTCTCTCGCATAGCAACAAGCGGACGGATACCGCGCGTGGAGGGGAGACGGCGCGTGGAGGGGAGACACGAGAGACGCGCGAGAGCTGCATGAAAACTGCCTTTATTCGGGCCACTCGTGGACGCGACACATTTGTCGGTCCCTAACAAGACAAACAACTCGCCTCCGGTTACAAAAATCCATCCGCTAAACGACTTTATACAAAAAGAAGAACAACCTGTGACCCGAGGGCGCCAAGTAAATCAGAGTTTCGCAAGCTCGAACGGTACTTCCGGGCGTCTATAAATGAACTTAAGATATGTGTGTGTGTGTGTGTGTGTGTGCCGCGGCGGCGCTGGCCGTCGTCCTCCGCCGTTTCTCTCCCCCTTCTCTGGGCTATACGCGCTGCTTCCCCCACCACCACCACCGGCCGACCGCGCGGTTTCGGTTAGTGGCGGCCTCTCGACAGCTGTTTGTACAAGTCGATGATCTGCAGCTTCTCGTCCTTGTGCATCCTGCGCACGTGTACGTACATGTTCGACGAGAATTTCGCCTTCTTGGTGCAGTAAGGGCACTGGTAGCGCGGCTCTTTGCCGCACTGGAAGTGACAGTGGGTCTTCATGTCGGACAGCCTGGTGTAGCCGCTGTTGCAACGCGGACAGTAAAACTTTTTCCTCGGCGCGGGATTCTGCACCGGATTGTGCACGAGGATGCTGTCCGGCCAGAGGTTCCGCAGCTCGGACGGGATCGGCTCCGGCCGGCACGCGGCCTGTTCCATGTACACGTACGGCTCGTCCTTCGCGTCCTCCTCCCCGCCCCGCACCTGGAACACTTCCGGCTGCATGGAACCGCCGGCTACTACGTCTTGGCGGTAGTGTATCCGGCCGTACATCGAATCTAGAAAAAGAATCGAATTGTTGTTGGTAGTTAGTGTCGACCGGCCATCAACGACGCACAATTCTCATCCATGCTTCGATCATCTAATTGGCGAAGAGAGCTACTTCGGAGTCGTGAATTGGGTGATATCCCGGTGCTGAGAGGGGTGGTGGGAT